AGAGAGAGAGAGAGAGAGATCCTCGAAGAATTAAAGAGACATCAATCCAAATGCAGAGGAGAAGAAGACGGCGAATGGGAGTGAGTGAGTAATCTTGAGAAAGTAGGCGTAGAGAGAGAGAGAAGAGAGAGATGTAGACAACTCGACGGAGAAGACGGAGAGAGAGAGAGGAGGGGACCAAATCGTTCGCACGCACTGTGACTGAGGATTTTGATTTTATTTTTTTCACAGTCTCTGAGACGTTTCCCTCGAACATTCAACTTTTAGCGTCGCCCGAATCATTTCCTCTCCTCTCCTTGTATTCCCTTTTTTTTGTTTTCTTTTCTTTTCTCCCCTATTTATAAATAATAATAACACACATACACTTATTTACGATTAATAAAATATAAAACCTCGAACAAAAAAACTCTACGTATAAAACCTGACCAACAAAAAATATGTAATTTATTTTATTTTTGATGTTATCTCATTCATATTCCAAAATGTATACATACAGCTAACAAAATTTTAAGAGAAAAGCTAAATATATATTTTTTTGTTAAAGGAAAAGAATCATCATCTCACAAAGATCTTTACAGTCTTGATTTAAACAAATAGTATTGATTACTTTTGTATGCTGGTTGTAAGTATCGAGCACAAGTGTTATCCTTGTATACTATACGCTATTAGTAGAAATAATTAATGTTACTATATGAATTACGGTATTATACGATCCTAAATTAACATATATTGTCGACAAAAAGAAAAAAAATTAACATATATAAGTGTAACTGCTTTTAGAAGATATTGTTTTTTATTTTAGAGGAGTTTTAAAATCAAAGCAAAAGGGACCCCTAGAGAGAAGAGAGAGTTGGGGATGGTTAATTGTTTTTTTATATATATAAATGAACCAAATTGCTTCTCTAGCTCATCCCCACCGACCTCTGCAACACTTGGGCTGTCTCTGTTACATGACACAGGGTCCTTTGCATTATTACAAATCAAATTCATATTCATGGTGTGTCTATAAATAGTTAAATAAAACCATATATATGTACTAAGAAAAAATAATGGTGTATATATATAGTAGAATATGTTATCATCTTCTTATCTTCAAGTGTCATGGGCCTGTGTGTGTGATACACTGAAAGTCGTGTGATGTGTTATCATAAAGGAACACTGCCAAAAAAGCATCACAACTCCAAGTGGGGTTTGAGCTGCCCTTTCTCTCTCTCTCTCTCTCTCTCTCTCTCTCTCTCTCTCTCTCTCTCTCTCTCTCTCTCTCTCTCTCTCTCTCTCTCTCTCTCTCTCTTTATCTAAATCTTAATTCTTAATAATAATATAAGATTTGACTTTCTAATCATCTCTATTTTTATTAAGTCTTTTTTAACTATACTAATCATCCCTTAAGTTTGGGGACTCAACTCAGCAAGCAACTGATGATGCAAAAAGAAAAAAAGAGAAAAAACCAATCATTTGGTAGTTAATAATTGAGATTTCGTTTAATCATGTGATGTGTTGTTGTTATACTGACTGAATGCCAACTCTTATCACAGAGCATATTTATCTTATACATAATCTATTTTCTTCCTTTCTATATGTAAATTATACTCATATTTTTTTTTATAAAAATATAATTTTAAATTATATTCAGAAAATAACTTTTTTACAACTAGTGCATTAACAAATCGATCGCTGAAAAAGAACTATGGTCAACAAAATAGAAAATCATAAATTATACTTATATTGTTAGCGAGTCTTTATTTTATAAAACCATCCATATATATACGAATTAATATTTGTCTATATATAAACGTTAGCATGCATCTTCTGGTTTGCTTCTCGTTTAGGTTGATAATTTCTTATTATAAAAAATGTCAACTTAATCTTCATGCAAATTATATCTAACCTACGTAATTCAACCCGTATAGTACACACTAAACAATCCAGAAGCTTTTTTTTTTTCTTTTTTTTTAGAAGCTTAAACCCGTATAGTAAACTTTTTCTGAACAATTGGTTTAAAATCCTTAGAATTGCCAAGCTATATAGAGAAATTTTGCAAGTGGATAACGTGAGTATACCTATTTGGATTTGCATGGACCATTCTTGATTTCACCATGCACTGTAGTTTATCTCTGTCTCTCGTGCATGAAATTAAGAATTATAAACAAAATTTTAGATAAACGAATAAAATAGATAAGAAAACAACTAAAAAAAGCATCGATCGAAGTGCTTGCTAAATATGGTAACAATGTTAGGCCAAAAACTCAAATAAAATGACAAGACGCTGTCCTCGCAGACCTCTCAATCCGCCGTGGAATGGGCCAACAACAAGTTTCTGATCTTTTTCTCCTACAGTTCTTAAACAATAGTTTAAAGATACGCAAAATCTTTTACCCCTCGTTATCTGTGAACAAACTTAGGATTCGAATGGAGAAAGTAAATCGGACAGAGCAGATCAATCGGTTCAAACATATCCAGTATAATAAAAGCGGATCAATCAAACAGATCTAGCGTATTAAATGTAGATCATATTTTTTTTTTATTAAAAAAACTGTTTATTTTAAAAACACTTCAAATCTTCAGTTTTTTTTTCTGTTTATAGTGCAGTACAAATATTTTTTTTATTTTTGATCTGCTAACAGGACAATTATTTTTTAATAAACTTTATTTTTTTGAACTTGCATTATTTTATTTTGTATTGAATAGTAAATATACAGAATAATAAATCTGCTTCACATAATAATAGATCTGCTTGATAGAATAACTGATTTTTATCTGCTCTCCATTGAAGGCCTTATTAGGAGATATAAAAAACCCTCCATTTTTTTGGTTTAAATTTTAGGAATTGGCCCTTCCACAATTTAAAAGGTCAGATGCGTGTTTCTTCTGTATATATATCATGAAAAACGTCACTTCACGTCAACACCAAAGCAAATTTGGTTGGAGGACCTTCAAGCCTTTAGGTGATGAGCATGATCAGTAAATTATTCTCCACGATGGTCGATGGTGATAGGTGAGTCCGAGACACGTGATAACTTCTGAGGGCACAGGACTACAGGAGATATGACACGTGTGTTATATGCTATTACAAATTTGGCATAATGCAATGAACGATGTATATAGTAGTTAGCTAGGAGAGAATAATGCATCTCCTTTGGTGCGAAGTGCCTTCTTTTTTAAAAAAATACGTGTTTTGTTAATTAATTTGGAAATGCTGACCAGAAACAATATATGAACAAGAATCCGTATGTGTAAAATGTATGGTACGTATATTATGCAATATGCAATGAACTTATACACGTTGACACGCTTTGCCGTGTCTCTAGCCTCATAATCAAACACGTCCCCACCTATATATATTGCATAGTATATACTCCCCAAAACAAAACCTAATCAATCTCAACTATAAAACCAAACCATATGTTAAATTATTGTAGATTTAAAATGGAATCGGAAACAAAACCAAATCGACATTTATATGTATATCTATCACAAAGTGGTTGATGAATTTAATACGGTTTGGTCTTCTTAAAAGCTTATGCGACACTGTTTAGTACCAGCCCCTCTAGAATTATTGAACATGTGAGAAAGGTGATAATGATAAAGTAGTTCTTAAATCTTAATTTCCTTACGAATCTGAACGTCATTATATCTTTGGTTGTAAGTGTAAGTGTAAACGGAGTATTTTACCCAAAAAAAAAAAAAAAAAAAAAACCCATCGAAGTAACATACATATGATATAAGTTAAATCGACAATATCAAAAGAGAACCAAAGCATGGCACTTAACTCGTACAGTACATGTGTCAAATGTGTTATAGGGACACGAAATATGTGGTGACTTTTTTTTGACAATTGTGATGCAAAGTCATATGTGATTGTGCGGTTCGTAATTTTCACTGGGCCTTACTAAAATATTGATTAAAAATTGGATTACCAAATTAACTGACCGGGCTGCAGAATTGAAATAAATAAGCCCAAACGATACAATCGGCCCAACTATATGAGGCTATTTACGACACTATTTTAACGAATCGTCCACGTCACTCCCTTTCTTCCTCGCGATTGAAAAAGGAGTAAACCCTAATTTCCCCAAATCGCAGACACTATGAATCTTCCATCGTCAACAACACCAACCACGGCGACGTCAACCTCGCCGTCTTCTGATTCAACAGAAACGAATTTCACTGAAAGATGCGACGATTGCGGAAGCCGAGACTCCTGGGTCATACACACTGTACGACTCCGTGGCACTCTCCGCTTCTTCTGCACACATTGCCTCCTCCGCAACCATCCGACGTCGTTTTGTCCTTCCTGCTTCGCCTTCTACGATTCGTCTCCGCCGCATCCTTCCCGCCGCGTCACTTGCTCCAATTCCAAGTGCCACTCCTTGACACACATCCAATGCGCCGGCGACGCAAAACCCGCTTCTTCTTACCTCTGTCCTCCTTGCCGGAACCCTACTTCCTTCTCCTTCTTCCGCCTTATTGTTGACGGAAACGGCTGTCGCTCCGTCGACAAAACTCTCTCGGAAGCCTTCTTATGCGCCGCTAAGATCGCTGCATCTTCGATGAACAAGGCTGTAATCGCAGCTAAGTGTGATGCTGACCGGAGAGGAAGAGAAGCTGCCTTGGCGAGGAAGAGAGCACGCGAGGCTCTTGAGCATGTTGTGATGCTCGATGAGAAGGAGAAGGCAAGATCGGTTATGCCAAAGCTTAAAGAATCTTCCGTTGATCGAGTCATTGATCAGAAACCAAAATTGAGTCCTGCATCTAATAATGGTACTGTGAAAGAAACAGAGAGCTCTGCCACTACTAGTACTACCACCAAGAACAATGGAAGCACAGAGAAACAGAATCCGTCAATGCAATTGGCTAAAGTTAAGCAGGAAGCTGATGCTTCTAGATGAAACCTATGTTCTCACTTCTCCGGTACCACAACTTGAAGCAGTTCGTCTGTCTTCTTCTGATTCGATCACAAAATGTAGATTGTAAGTTATCACTTTTTTGGTTGTTCGATCGATCACTTCTGTGTGTAGGAATCTTTGCAACTGTGAAACGTTGTTTCGTAATAATTTTATCGCTCGTATGTTTCTGCCTCTGACAAAAGCCACCGGTTTGTAAGTTGTAAACATACTCTGGTGATGGATTAGCGCATCTGACAAAGTTCTAGTCCATACTGTTGTGATATGATTTTTCACTGATTCTTGATTGAGATTGAAAGTGTTATTTTCTATGTTATTTTTGCTTACTCTTTTTTATTTTTCTTTATTTATGAATTGCATAGTTCAAAATACAATTAAAGAAGGCAATAAAAGATATGATCACACAAGACATTTCTCTTTGAGACTAAGAATGGTGTCTCTAAGGGTTGCTTCTGTTGGAGTGAACTCAATTCCCAAACTCTTCGCTTTCTCCACACTTAGCTTGTAAATCACTGGAATTATTTCACTTGCTTCATTCCTTCAATAATAAAAATTAAGTCAAAGAGAGTTTTATATATAAAGTATCTATCTCAGTGTCTATCAGATTGTAAACCAACGATTAAGGGGTAATGAACTTACTTGTCAACGAGATTCAACTCGGGAAAGAATTCGTGCACAATCTTCTCAATGTCATTTATTGTCACAATCGGACCTTCGATGATATATCTACCATTTGCTGAAGGAGTCTCATACGCTTTGATATGAGCAAGGGCAACATCTCTCACGTCCACGAGCCTGGAGTTCTTATTAACGGTGTCGTTCTTGTCTTTGATAAGATCCGCGATCAAACTAACTGAGAAATTAAGACTTGGTTGCAAAAGTGGTCCGAGCACAAGTCCTGGATTTATTACAACCAAGTCAATCCCGTTTTCTTTTGCGAATCGCCATGCTTCATCCTCTGCCAAAGTCTTTGAGACTACATACCAAAGCTGGAGAAGACAAATAGAAAAAAGAAAGAATGAGAGTTTTAATGAACTCGATCAATGCTATGTCACAAAAACAACTCGAGAACCTTTTTATCAGAGCAAACATTTGGGTCCGAGAAGCAACTCTCGTCGACTAAATAGTCTGGTCCCAAAGGAGTCACAGGAAACAGAACTGCGGCCATGGACGATGTCATGACGACCCTCTTAACAGATGACACTTTGGTGCAAGTTCCAAGGACGTTAAGTGTACCCTTTACCGCCGGGTCAATCAGCTCAACCTGCAAACCCTCGAAAACTCAAGCTAGTAAGTTAATGTTAAAAATCTTAATCGGAAGAAAGACAACACCTACAATAACATACAGGTGGCGCACGTATTACCAATGAATTTTTGAATTGAAAACGTATGAATATTTAAAACCTAATTCGCATTGTCTTGTTCCAAACAAGGGTGATATGACATCTTGAACAAACCTGATAATCAGTTACAGTAAATGTAACTGGAGAAGCGGTGTGGAAGACAGCCTCACATCCTTGGATTGCTTGCTCGAATGAACCTTCGTCCATAAGATCTGCTTTGAACAGTTTGAGTCTTTCTTTTGCACCCTCTAGTGCAAGAAGATGTTCTGTTTTCTTTGCATCCACTAGACAACAAAAAACACACACACGCATATTTGTCAAATTAGAAAATCCAATTTCTTTGGACAAGATTAGATCCCATAAAAAAGACTTAATCTTATGTATTACAACTATAAAAAAGAAAGAGATAAGGAAAAACAAACGTGGGTCTCGAACGGTGGCCCTAACGGTGTAGCCACGTTGAAGCAAAAGCTTAACAATCCATGACGCTATGTAACCGGAAGCTCCGGTGACGCAAACCACTTTTCCTCCGTCGGCCATCTCTCTACTTGGTAGGCTGGTTTCAGTTTCAGTCCTTATGAATTTGAGCAACACATTACTCTCTCTATATATATATAGTACACTTGCCTTTCTAAGTCCACGCGCGATATTAAACTTTGATAACACAATTAAAAGGAAAAAATCTATATTAATTACAATATCTCTTAAGTTGATTGTCTAATTACACTAAAAGATTATTTACTCCATTTGGCATCTCATACTATTGACATGTGTCACTTTTTAGTTTTTAGTGATCCTATATAGTTATACATATAAAATATAATTAATTTTGAGATTCTTTCACTTTTTTTTTTTTGTTACAATCTAAATAATAAAAGCATATATGACAACTGACAACCACTAAATTAAAAATTCATAATAAGTAAATTAGTCTTTTTTGGATCATTTTAAAAATTGTTTGGGAACTATACCTAAGAACTATACTCCATTTGGCATCTCATACATTGACATGTGTCACTTTTAGTGATCTTTTATAATTATAAATATATATATAATTAATATTGAGATTGTTTTACTTTTTGTTACAGCATAAAAATAAAAGCATATGTGACAACCACAAAATTAAAAATTTATAATTCTATCTAACACTAATCCCTAAAATGTAACATATATTATATAATTTAATGTTTAAGAAAATAAATGTAAGACTCAAAATTATACAATTTTTTGGTACTTTTTAAAATTGAAATTTGGTAATTTTAAAACAAATATATAGAGAGGTATACTCTATAATAAGATTTGTTTCACTTCTTTGAAAATTTAAAATCTCACTATTAATTAATTTACAACAGGTGAATGAGTTTTTGTTGGATCTTTTGGAAAAATCGTTAGAGAACTATACCTAATTTTGCAAGCTATTAAGGATCGTTTTTCTTAACCGAACAAAATCCACACAAAAATGTATTGAACCGAACCAAACGGTAACATGATGAAACTATGCATAACGATGGTAGTTAATTATTATGGGGAAATTATAGAATTTATATTTGTTTTAACTAACAAGTAATTAAGACTACATATAAGTTATGAAACGTATAGAGATCTGCAATTAAAAAGTACGAAAATAAGAAGAGGATCACAAAAGACATTTCTCCTTGAGACTCAGAACAGTGTCTCTAAGGCTAGTTTCTGTAGGAGTGAGCTCATTAATTCCCAAACTTTTCACTTTATCCAAACACGATCTGAAAGTCACTGAATTCAACTCCTTCATGTCTTCATTCCTAATATATATAATAAATAAAAACATTTTTATATTTTTTTTGTTAGGTTTGTCGATAAATGATCAAAGAAAAGAAAACTATCAAGGTTAATTTACTGTATTGTATTTTGGAAACTCTCACGTACCTATCAGCAATGCACAAATCAGGAAAGAATTCGCGAAATACGTTTTGAATGTCGTTTATGGTAACAACGGGACCATCAATGAGATATCTGCCATTGGCTAAAGAAGTCTCGAGTGCCTTGACATGAGCTAGAGCAACATCTCTCACGTCCACGAACCTATAATGTCTAGTATCAAAAGGGTTCTTACCTTTCATAAGTTCAGCAATCACATCTACCGAGAAGTTAAGGGATGGATGCAAGAGTGGTCCAGACACAAGTCCTGGATTTAGAACGATCAAGTCGATCTCATTGGCCTTGGCAAATCTCCATGCTGCATCTTCGGCCAAAGTCTTGGAAAGTACATACCATTGCTGAAAAGGAAGGAAATAGAAAAGGGTGAGAAACACAATACACAGACCTTTTTCAAAACACATTGACGTGTCAAAACACAATCGAAAGACCTTTTTCTCCTTAGCAAAACTTGGATCAGTGAAATAGGTTTCGTCTACTACATCGTTTGGTCCCAACTTGGTCTCAGGAGCAAGAACTGCGGCCATGGACGATGTTAAGATGACCCTCTTGACGGAAGACACTTTAGAGCAAGTTTTTAGGACGTTAATAGTACCCTTGACCGCTGGATCGATCAGCTCAACCTGTAAAAAACCCAGAGTAAAAATTATTATTAAGTTTGATGGGTTGTAGCTATTATCTTAGGTTTTCTCTTAACTTACTAAGCAAGAAAATCAAGAAAGTTAATTACTAATTAAGGATGGTGTTGTTCTGAACCTGAGGATCAGAATTGACAGTGAGTGTAACCGGTGAGGCAGTGTGGAAGACACTGTCGCATCCATCAATTGCGAGCTCGAAAGAACCTTCTTCTACAAGATCTGCTTTGAATATTTTGAGTCTTTCTTTTGCGCCGTCAAGTGCAAGAAGGTGTTCAGTTTTCTTTCGGTCGTCTGGAGAAAACAAATTAAAAAAAAAAAAAAAATGCTTATTTAGTTTTTACCACTTCGGTATTAACGAAAGTTTCACGCAGCCTATTAATGTCAGTTTATATCAATCCTCGTTTGTTAGTCTGTATATACTTCCTTTAAGAGAAAATACATATAGAGACCGAATAAAATCAAAATATTACTTGTGGCGATTTGGTTTTGAAGAGCTTTAACTTTCAATCTGAATTTTTACGGTTGACTTCGATTTAGTGTTTAGTTTGATTTGGTTTTGTGTTTTACTTGTTTCTGCCAACTTTATCGGAACGACAAAAATACTATCTCTATCTCTAAAAGTATGTTACTAACGGGAATTAACGCACAAGGAAGGAAGAAAGAGAGAATTAAGAAGGGAACAAACTTGGGTCTCGAACGGTGGCCTTGACGGTGTAGCCACGGAGGAGTAAAAACTTCACAATCCAAGACGCTATGTAACCGGAAGCTCCGGTGACGCAGACCACCTTTCCTCCGCCGCCGTTCATCTCTCTTCACTTTAATTTTTCTGACTAGTGACTAGAATTAGTGTGGTTGGTAAGAGCTTCACTGTTAAAATGATAAACAAATCCTAATATTTATAGTTGCATTTGCATACACGCATCATTCTCAATTTTGTTTTTTCCGACAAACACTTCATCCTATTTTAAGACCGCGTGTGATATGCGACAAAAATATACAAATCTGCAGTATTGATTTTGCTGCCCCCTTGCAGCATTTGTGGTTTTATTTAGGGAATTTATTTCCTTTTCTCTAGTCAAACGGTTATAATTATATCTTTCCTTACGACCAGAAATACACAAATTTACACTGAAGCAAAAATTTGGAAGAAAATCACAAAATATATCCCACTGAATATATAAACATTATTCTTTGTTTTTAAATAAAATATTCATATATATATATGAATATTTTATTTAAAAACTAAGAATTGGACAACCATTGGTTTTGGCGTTGTCGTGTCCCATTAGAGCCGGGAGTATTTATGAGCTTCTAAAGATAAGGGTGGATTACGTGGTTCGAGTTTTGATCACGAAATGGACTACCAATAGATTAGGCAAGATTGTTCCAATTCTAAGGTTAGACTCATAGGACCACTCGTATTGCTTGTACGTACCAGATAATTTGAATACATATCACCAAGCGTCCGAAAGCACAAGTACTGGAAGATAGTCTTGTTTATCAAATTCTTCGGACGTATGTAAGATACATTGAACCCTAACACATCTAGAATCGGTCCAAGGAAGGAATGAAGGAACCATGAAACAAATGATTCACCTGAAGTAAGCTTACATACATGTGACCTTAAGTAAAGTGTTTAATTAAGCTAACAATACACTTATTTTGACAAATTTAAAACGTATCCAACTCTTAATTAGTGGCAAGTATCTTATAATATTTATGAAATGCTTAATAGTTTTAAATAAAAAGTCTCCACAACTTAAAACACGCTAGCTAGTAATACTAAAAATTCAACAAAACACAATAATTATAAATATATATACGAACACATAAATCATAAGAGAAGTTTCTCTTTGAGGCTAGCAATAGTGTCTCTAAGGCTTAATTTCATAGGAGTGAACTCAACGCCCAAATTCTTCACTTTCTCCACACACACTTTGTAACTCACTTCGATCATCTCACTTTCTCCATTCCTAAAACAAGAGATCAAATCAAGTTTCCTCATATATATGATGCATATTTGGTAAGTAAAAAAAATTAATGGAGGGGGCAAGAGAACTCACGTATCAGCAATAGACAAACCAGGAAATAACTCACGCAAAATCTCTTTAATCTCGTTTACACTCATATTTGGACCATCGATGACGTATCTGCCATTGGCTGAAGGAGTCTCCAACGCTTTGATATGGGCTAAGGCAACATCTCTCACGTCCACGAACCTGTAGTATTTACTATTGAAAGGGTTCCTACCATTTATGAAATGCACAAGCAGCTCTACCGAAAAATTAAGAGTTGGTTGCAAGAGTGGTCCGATTATAAATCCTGGATTCAGGACGACCATGTCGATTCCGTTGTCTTTAGAAAATTGCCACGCTGCATTCTCTGCCAAAGTCTTGGCGAGTAGATACCAATTCTGATGAAGAAAAGAAAAAGGGTAAGAAATTAAGAATCCAAAACCCCAAATGAAATTGATATGTTCACAACAAAAGGATATTAAGGACAAGGACCTTTGTCTCTCTGCATAGACTTGGATCGGAGAAGAAAGTCTCGTCCACCACTTCGTTTGGCTCTACAGGAGGTTGACGAAGAAGAACCGAAGCCATTGAAGATGTTAGAATGACCCTTTTGAGCGATGGAGTTTTTTTGCATGTGCTAAGGACGTTCATAGTACCCTTTAAGGCTGGATTAATCAGCTCACTCTGAATATTACAGTATATATTTTTGTCAAGTTTTGTATTAAGCGATAGAACTGACTTGGCGGATAATTAATAGTTGACAAACCTGAGGATCTGTGACGGTGAATAGAACCGGAGAAGCGGTGTGGAAGACAGCATCACAACCTTGGATTGCTTGTTCGAAAGAATATTCTTCCAAAAGATCTGCTTTGAACAGTTTGAGTCTTTCTTTTGCACCCTCTAGTGCAAGAAGATGTTCTGTTTTCTTCCTATCCGCTAATGAAAAAATGCGCTCCAGAGTATTCAAAGAAAATTCAATTTCGTTGTCCAATAAAAAAGAAAAAAAAAATCAATATTGTATTTTATGATTTAATTTGATATTTATTTTGGTCTTTTTAGGTTAAGACACAGAGTGTGAACCAAATAAATAAAGACACAAGGGCGAAAAAAGGACAAAACTAATTTAATCCAGTGAGATGTTTCAGTTACATTCTGATTTGATTTTGATGGGCTAATCTTAATCCTCCCTACAAATTACTAGTCGTGTGGCTTGCTAAATCTGAGTAACAAATATATATATGATTCTACATATCGGTTGTGAAAAATAAAATAAAACAAATAATAATAAAGGAAGATATGCATGAGGGAATTGCGGACAAACTTGGGTCTCGAACGGTGGCTTTGACGGTGTAGCCACGGAGGAGCAAAAGCTTGACAATCCAAGACGCTATGTAACCGGAAGCTCCGGTGACGCAGACCACCTTTCCTCCGCCGTTGTTCATCTCTCTTCAGCTTTATCTGATAATAATTTTGTTTTAGATGAAGACTACTTCTCTCTTCTTCTGATGAATGGGGTGAGTGTTCATTACACATTACACTGTGGGTTTTTATATAATACTAAAAATGTTGTAATAAAGTGATGCGCGGTCACAAAATTCATGCGTACACGTATCTTACTTTTCCTTTTTTAACATATTTTTTTTGCGCATCTTTCTTTGACGGTCAACTTTGTCGTTCCGTAAAAGGTGCTTGATCAGGAAAGCCTACAAATGTATCCTTAACATACTACTCTCCTTCATAGATGATGCATGAACTTGTTTATATGTTCGAAGATCTGCTTTGAACAGTTGCACTTGTTTACTATTCCATCCAGGCCCGGCTTAGCAAAACAATAGACCCTGTACAGAATTATAAAACCCTTCAATTTGAAGATATAAAATAAGACTTTTAATTTGTAAAAAGGCCCTAAAAATATAAAAATATGTCCTAAATAGCTGGAAAAAAAATTAAGACAGAGAATGTGAATACTCATGAACTTATATTACTTGTCTGTACATGATGATATTTTAAATACCTTCATCACAACGCAAAAATTTGGATCGGTGAAGAAGGTTTCGTCCACCAAGTCGTTTGGCCCGAAGGGTGGATCACAACCAAGAAGGCGGTTGAAGATGTTACAATGACCCTCTTGAGCGAGGAAGCTTTTGCGCACGTTTTCAAAACGTTCATAGTACCTTTTACTGCTGGATCAATCAGCTCAACCTGAAATACCTCAACCAAAAAATAATAAATACTAGTGCAGTCGATGTTGATAACACAATGACATTTAAGACTCTGCAACAAACAGAGGGTCTGATGTGTCATCGTTTCGCTTTCAGATGTGTCATCTTTAGATGCATGTTATAATTAGTGAAAAAGAAAAGACAAAAAGAAGAAGGTAAAATTATAAACGAACCTGATGATCTGCAGTGGTGAGTGAAACTGTAGAGGCAACATGGAAGACACCATCACATCCCTCTCTATAGCTTGCTGGAAAGAACCTTCTTCCTAAAGATCTGCTTTGAACAATTTAAGTCTTTCATCTCTCGATGCAATTATTATTCTTTGGTTTGGCTTCGGCGTTACGATAATAATATTGTTCAACAACTGCCCTTCAGTTTTATACAAATTTTTAACTGATGACAAAATTCCAGCTTAATAAATCATGTTAGCCATATCTAACAAAAAATAATGATGATCAAACTGTGATATTATATATTACAGTTCAATAAATTATTTCTTTTTTGTGGAGTATTACAATTTACTATCTTAATTAGTTACTTCTCTCAAAACACTATACTCTTACCTCATGGTCATTTCATACTTTGACATATATATGTTATATTTTCTTTAGGTCATATCTCTTATTTATTTGAAGATTTGTTTCTTTCTTTTTTACTTTTACAATCACAGAAAAAAACATACAGAGCAAAATTGGTAATTGATATATTCCGTAGATATATACAGTATATATCTATTGTTACTAATTAACACAAGTAAATTAAAAAAAATATATTATAGGTAAAATGTAATGAATTGGTTTGGTTTCCGTTTACGTGTAATTTTAAATAGAAAATTTATCTTCAAACCCAAAAAGGCCATAGCCACAGGCCCACAAATATGCGGCCCAAATAATAAACACTGTACCACGTTGCTTTTCTATAATTTGAACCAATAGATTTTGCCGCGCTTCAACCTAGCAAGTTAGCTAACTGCGCTTGATGCGTAGGTTAGCGAATCGCTACTTTAAACGACACAATATCCGAAGCACTAGGCTCGGTTTCGCCGAAGCTAAAATTTTCAGTCGCTTGCCTTAAATGATCTCTCATCCGAACCAAACTGTTTCGGACCCTATCCTCCAGGTTTTAATTTCACTGTCATTTTCCTCCTCCTGCAGAGAGAAATCAAATTACGAACTCGAACAAATCTGCAATCTGATTCTTTTTCCAATCGAACCCAGAAAACCTGATTTTTCCAGCCGTTCGATGGAGACTGGTGGGTCGTGAGAAAGTTTGGAACTTTAGGGTTTGAAAATTCAAAATTCTGTAAGAGTTTCAAATTTTTTAAAAAGGTCACGTTTTTTTTGGCTGTATACTGTAAAGTATTCGTCTTTATCAAAGTTTATTTATTGATGTGAAAGGGACGACACAAGTTTATTTGTCTCTCTTGCGTAAACCCTACCTGGATAGAGTTGTTAATGGCTGTTATTTATAAGAAATTGATTGTTAATACAAAGATTAAGAGGATTTAATTCTTGTGGACAGATTTGATTTAATTAATCTGAGATTTCGGACATATATGTGTTTCATTCGTTAATGTACAGGGGGTCACGTGAAGAACATGTATAGCTTCCTTTTACGTTTCTGAAATTGGGGATTTCTGGAGAATTTATCTGTCTAGATTGAGGAACAGAACAGTGACCGCTAATTCAGAAAATGCCAACTTCTGTTAGTCTAAGAGAGGATGATCCTCTTTTGAAGGATTTGAGTGAGAAGAAGCAAAGTTTTAGGAGAAATGTGGTGTCTTTGGCCACTGAGTTGAAAGAAGCGAGGACTCGTCTAGCTGAACAGGAGCGCTCGTGTTCAAAAGAAGCCATGTCTAGGCAGGTAAGCAAGCTCTCTAAATATTATCGCCTATCCCTTACTTTTGTGATATTGAGACTTTTGGTGAGCTGTTTTCCATATGTGCAGGAAGCAGAAACAAGAGTTAAGAGAATGGAAGATGAGATGCTTAAACTTGGTAAGGAGTTAAACAAGAAAGTTGAGCAGATTCATGCATCGGATGTTGCAACTGAGAAGGTTAGGATTGCAGTTTTAACATTTCTTGATTGTCCAGTTTATCTTGTGTTCTTGGTTCTGCTTAAACACATAGTAGATCTGTTATAACATCGGCTCCAAGGATTGTTTCTCATCGGCCTTTTTATGTCTTTCTCTTCAGAATTGGCTGGTTCACCATTGTCTTTTAAACCTGACTAGGGTCTTCGTCTGCCAAAGTTCAGTAGATTTCTACCGATGTTAACTTATCAACTTTTATGTTTTCCTTTTGTGCAGTATGTGAAAGAATTGGGTGATATCAAGTCACAGCTTGCAGCAACACATGCAACTGCTGAGGCAAGTGCTTTTTCAGCTGAAGCAGCTCAGTCTCAGTGTAGAGTGCTTTCAAAACAATTGCATGAGAGGACTGGTTCCTTGAATTACCATGAGGACCAAGTAACTAGACTTAGTGAGCAACTAGATAATCTACAAAAGGAGCTGCAAACTAGAGAAATTTCACAGAAGCAGCTAAGAGATGAGCTTCTAAAATTTGAAGGTGACATTATGCGGGCTGTATCAGTGGTCAAGACAAAGGAGAATTTTGAGGTGCGGAAATCGCTAGCTGAGAATTCTCCAAAGAAATTTGAAAGAATCAACAAACTTTTGACGGCCAAAGATGATGAAGTTGCTAGACTCAGAGATGAACTGAAGATTATATCGGCTCACTGGAGGTTTAAGACCAAGGAATTAGAAGATCAGGTAACAACGCATGCTTTAGGTTCTCTTATTTCTATGAGTTCTTTTTGGTTTTACATTTTTATGTAGTGTTAGCCTGTGTTCTTCTGGAGCAGGTGGAGAATCAAAGAAGAATTGATCAGGAACTCAAGAAGAAGGTGCTGAAGTTAGAATTTTGCCTCCGTGAAACACGCATCCAAACTCGAAAACTTCAAAAGGTAAATTCACTTGCTTTTATATGGGATAAGTAGCTTCTTGAACCCAATACTAACTGATCTGTTTTTTCTGCGGGATGTTAGATGGGAGAGCGAAATGATGTGGCAATACAAGAACTCAAGGAGCAATTGGCTGCAAAAAAACAGCATGAAGCTGATCTCTCTAGCAACCAAAACTTGTGGGACAAATCAGGTTTCAAGATAGTTGTCTCCATGTCAATGCTGATATTAGTTGCCTTTTCTAGACGTTAAATTAGCGATGAAATAAATTCATATCATATTATAGTAGCTAGACAGTATCCTACAGTGTATGAAGGATTTAAGATTACACCTCTTTGTTACAACGTCTGTGTTTCGCTTTGGTCCTCCTGAGATATATTTGAAAAGAAACAACCGGGGTTTTCTGTACAAAACCAAAACCTGAGCATGCTCGTTGCACCAAAGAAATTAATAATGTTTTACATTCCTAGATTCTTCTAATGAAGATACCCTAAAAGAGCTTGTACTTGTGCCATAATACTATTACGACTCCTACATATTCTACTTCTAATGAAATAGCACTGCATGGAGAATCAATGTTGCCACCATAGCATGACCAACGTGAGTCTTTAATCGTCTAGAGTCTGATGATGTTGGATTGTTCCCATTTGGTGAACCATCAAATCCGTAAACCCCTGAACCTCCTGAGGATGGATTGTTTAGAGTATTTGATGTAGGATTTGCTGGGTTAAAGATTCCTGGTGGAGTTCCAACCCTTCAATAGAAATACAGAGTACACTCTCAGTTAGGACAATCTGAAGAGGCTTAAAGACTACTCAACAAGAATTGAAAAGAATGCTCTTATACCCGATTATCCCGCCTCCGGATGGTATTATAGGTGTTGATGTGACAGGAGGCTGGTTCACTGTTTGTGTTGATGGAGTTGGTGTTGTTGTTCCTGCTGTCGTTGGTGTTGATGCCGATGAACCTGTCTGGTAAATGCAAGAACCAGTGCCTGTTATAGAACAAAATAACAAAACAAAGTCAAGCAAAGCTATCTAGCTGAAATCAAATAAAGAAATAGAGAAACAGAGTAACCTCTGTTATTTTTTCTCACTCACTTGGGTTGGAGCTAACTAGTGAGGCTGCACCTCCAAAATCGCAGCTTTGTGGAGAAGGGTTCTTTTGGTAATAACTGTTGAAGGCAAATGAAGCATGACTCTGAAGACTGATAGGCGAATAACAGTTACCTCCTTGCTGTATCTGAGAGCAATCCGCGATCCCGCAGGCATAGTCAAGAGCCTGTTGGAGTGAGGTTTGAGAGGCTCCAGGCTTTGCCACGCACCAGCTTTGACCTGAAGCCGATGGAGAGTTTGAGACAACAGGCGGTGCAACCACAGGAACTGGAACTGGAACCATCCCTGAGGGTTGCGTTGGAGGATACTGAGTCACAGGGTTGGTTACAGGTGGTGTGAGTGTAGGAGGAGGAATAGTTGTGACTGGAGGAGGAATAGTTGTGACTGGTGGAGTAATAGGAACTGCTGTAGCTGGATTTGTGGGCGTTATGGTCACCGGAGGAAATGTAGTCGGCGGTGTAGTTGTGGGGTTTGTAGGAAAGACCGTTGGTGGGTTTAAGACATCATGATTTGTAATTCTTGATGAACAGAGTGAAAGAAGAGAAAGAAAGAAGAAAGTGAAGAAGAAATAACTCTGTATCGCCATCAGAGCTTGAGCTTGGCTTAGTGTTTTCTTCTTCTTTCTTGTGTTGTTTATAAGTACATAGTTGTGTAAAGAAGATGGAATTAAAGAAAGCTTTGAGATTCTCTTGAGAAAATTAGGGGAGAAAAGGAAGGAAGAAGCTGACTGTACTTTACATGCAAGTGACTAAGTAAGAAAAAAGATGTTTGCTTTGCTATGAAGTCTTTTGGATTTGGCCTGTGACTAATCTCATCTGTTTTCTTTTTCTTTTATATATTTGTGTGCAAAGATACAATCTTTTGCCTTATGTTAGCCAGAAAATAAAAGAAAGAGAAAAACCCATTTTTGTCAGATCCGTTTCAGACATAAGCATATGCATAAAGTTCTCCAAAGTGTTTTCAAAGAAGAAGCTGCAAATTGGTATTTTTATTTCTCTTATCCAAAAAGGAGGAAAAGGAAAAGACTGGTGCTGCAGATTAAGATCATGTAGTTAATTAATACAATCACAATGGATTTTATCTTTTTTTTTTTTTGCTTAGCTCAGCAAAACCCACAAAGGTTTAAAAGAAATCTTAAAAGCGGAAAGATATTGAAAAAATGAAAAAAGCAGAGAACATAAAGCTTTGTTAGCTGTTTAATGGATTAGTTTAGTGGCCTAATATTAAAGCAAATTTCTCATTTATCATCTACGCGGTTTAAATATTGTTCTTCGCCTATCACAAGATTAAAAATGTGACAACTTTGTTCTTGAGATAAGAAGATCTATTCATGCAAGTAGGGACAACCCATGTGGAATTTGTAGATCTTGATACTTTCTTCTTAAAAGAATTCATGGTTTCAAAAGTATACGCATAGGCAAAAGCTACCATTAAACTATTGTCACATACAACAAAGGTTAACATATCAGTTCTTGCATTACATTTGCAGAGATCGAGATTGGTATATAGATTATAGATTCTTAAATAATATCATGCAGCAAGAGCTAATACTGTTGATTTTAGTGGCTAGGCAAACAACTATACATGAAAGAGAGAGGGGCTTATGGATAATCACTTATGGGGTTTGTTATATTCTTCATGATGTTTGGTCCATTAACATATCTGAGAAGAAAGGGTCTGAAACAGCCTCTTTAGCTGATTTATACTTCTCCATCCGCTTCTTCAGTGACCGAAGTTCTCTTTCGTTTTTTGAAGACCGTTCCTAAAACAGTCACACAAGGAAAGGAGTATCAACAGGCTTTTCTAAGTTGGGGCAACTAATAATCAGATATGTATCGGCAAACTTACAAATGACTTCTTGGTAAGTAAGATATCCACGAGATAAATTAGCCAGAGAACATTTGTTCGAGCGAAGCTGTAGTTGGATAGAAGAAGAAACAAATTATGCTGATTATAAAAATGACCAAACCACTTGAGCACTATTCAGTTTGGTTGCTCATTCAATATTGTAATCTCATGCTTTTTAGAAAGAAAGATAATTTTGTTGCTTATTATTTTAGTCTTGTCTGCAGATATTTTCCAAATTAACGGTTTATAAACTAAAAGGAACTTACCTTCCTTCCCAATAATCTTCAGTAACTGCCTTCATTTTTCTGTAAGTTTCCGACTGCATGATGACATTATTGAAGCTTAGATAAATATTTGATCTTCATAGCTCTTGGAATAACTGAGGCTTAATTAAGTTTCCTTACTTGTTTATCTCCTCTTGGTCCTTTGAAAAGGTATGGATCAGAAGTAAGGTCCAGAAAGAGTATCTTTTCACCTGAGCACATTAGCACCATGAAAATTGGTAGTTAAGTATTAGATCAAAGACCTCATGGTTTACATTATATCACAGTATTGCGAACCATCACCTGTATTGATTCTTGAAAGAGTAAAGTCTATAATGGATATCTGTACGCCAAAGGTTTTGATAAAAATTTGCTTCCCCTCGAGAACAAAAGGCAACGTACACGAGTTATTCCGACTAAGAAGAATGTTTCCCCTGAAAAGAGAAAAGAAACAAGAAGGTCAAGCGAGAGAACACTAGTAAGTACTAAACTACCAAATCAAAAATTACCAATGCAGGTCTCTGTGCTCGAACTCAAAAGCAGCTTCAGAAACAGCTAGGCCAGCCGTGACCTTATATGTGAAACACATGCAATTAGCTAAAAAAATATCATTTGCTCAGTTTCTGTTACAGAAAATAGAGTCTATAACATACCTGAACCAATAAGCTCCGTGCTTCATCAAAGTTCAAAAGAACAAACTTTTCAAGGTCTTTGCCACCATGTTCCAGAACAAACATGACATAACACTGGAAGCAAAACCCACAGAGAAAATGAATAGTTCTTCTACAGATTATACATACAACATCCTAATAAACAGACGTTTTTGTAAATTATGGAGTGAAAAGAATCTTACTTGTTTTTCTGGGAAATCTGGGTGTTCATTCTCAGAGCCATGTACTGCATCCCATTCTTCCCATGCTTTTATCAGTATAGGGTCATAGGGACCTTGACATACTTTTATACTGCAACAACATTTTGTGCAAAGGTTTGTGAAAAAGTTTGGTAAAAGTTTAATAACACAGAACCAACAGACATCTCCAGCTTATTTGTGTTCCTGAGAAGACATACTCTTGAGTTTTTATGAACACCGGGCACGAATTCTGAGCTTCAGTCTCGGATTCACTTAGTAGATTAAGAGTCCATGAGAGTATCACTTCCTCATGTAATTCGTCAGCTCTCTGCATCAAGTATATATTAGATATTATTGCATATTTTCATTGATATGCTGTAAGTATTTGTATTACATATTAACCATAACTCATTCAAAAGACATATATGGTGAAAGAATATGCATGCCTTTCCTTAAGAATCGATGCTTATCTAAATCATAAACACTGTTATTCTCTAAATACAAATTAACCTCAACTTGCGCCTGCTGGCCCTCTCCAATATTTTCGTTCATGCTAAAGTGATAATTTCACCAACTAGAAGTTGTAGTCTCAAACCATCATGGAGAAACATAGAAGCGAGTTAAGAAAAGTACCTTCTGTACTTCCCCATTAACCCTGAAGTCTCCATCAATTGGAACTATTTTACAGACACTAGAACCAGCCCGAAAAGCCTCTCCATATGTACCTTCACCAATCTTGACAATGCTTTCTGGTTCACTGCAATATTTGAGTCACAATTATAATTGATTCAAATTGAACTTAATGATACAAGAACACTACATCACATCTCTTAATCGGGGCGTACCAAAGTGTCAACAAAAACGCACAACATTCCTAAGATAACACACCAAAAGCACTAGACAAACAGCCAAGGCTAGAACATAAAAGATAATCTCTAGTCCATACCAGAATTTAGAGAATGCTTCCAAGAAGTTTGATGGTTGCATCTGTCTACATGCGGACAATAGATCAAGAAATGACTTATCGAAATCTAGATGAGTGGAGGGCGGATCAGATGTCAAAGACAGTTGCTTCAGCTCATCTTCAAGGTCAATTGCTTCCATCTTGATTTTTCTAACATGCACATCTTCGGCAGCTGAACTGTCATCACGGCTTGAAATGAGCCGGAAAACTGAAGGGTTGCCAGAAGAAGACTTTTCTGGGGTTTTTAGTGGCAATGAATCAAAGGATTCATTATCAAAAACTGACTCCTGGCGTGTGGCTGAGTTTTCAAGTATCTTAGAGAGTGTGCTCGAAGGACCACAAGCATGGTTAAACTTCTTTGAGATCAGCCACTTTTCTAATCTTGTGGATAGATGTGGCATCTCAGGAACAACTTGTTCACCCATGGTCCATGTACTAGATTTATTGGGAGAAGGACTCTCTTCCAGAAGCTCAAAAGCATCAATATCACGAAAGTATTCCTTCTCTTTCTGGAAGTCTGGAGCTTTAACAACTTTTCCCTGAGAGTTTAAAAGAAAATACATGTGTATCATCTCCCAAAAGAAAATTAGAGTCTGAAGAAAGGAGCACAAACATTTTGACCATCCTCCAGGAGAGAATGGGAATCCAGAGACACGAGAAATGTTTTGTTTCGAGAACACTAGACTTCATAGCAAAACCGCACAAGTCGTCACTGGAAAAGATAGACTACCTTCGGAATAGCGGGTTTCTTTCTCCTGGCTGGTTTCTCCTGAGGCTGATTGTTGACAACCGCAACACTCTCCCTCCCTCTGTCACAAACACCAAAAGTAAAATATAAGCCACTTCGTTTACAGGTATAAATTTGGTGGCAATTCCTTGACATTTCAACAAACAGAAGGTGTGCAGTAAGTAGTCATTCATAACTTAAGAAAAGAATTGGAAGGACACGACATACAAAACAAGAACACTGACAAAAAAAAAAAAAAAGATCTCTTGAAGCAGCAACAAGCAAAAACAAAACCTCAGAATCAGAAGAAAAACAAAATTAGGGTTAAGCTAAGAATGTATACCTGGTGGAGAGGGAACGAGCCCAGCTATCTCTCTTTGGTCCATTGATGGAGCTGGTACGAACCCCTTTGACCAACCAGCCTCTGTTGATAAATTACACATCAGAAGAAAGTGATTCGGATAGATACAAAAGGCAAATTAAACCACTTTTAAAATTCTCAGCAGAAAATTACAAATTAACAGCTTCTGAGGACTTATCAGGCTTCTTCCTCCTTTGGTATACAGCTTCAATTTTGGGTATATCTCCGCCGTCTTCTTCCTCGGATTTAATGACCTCAGACCAAAGATCAACTGCACGTTAATACATCTTAGATAGACACACAAAAAAAAAATCGAAAATTTAAGGAAACCCAATAAAGAATTCAAACATATTAGTTCACCTCTATCTCCCATTCTAGGTTAGAGGAGGAAACGCAAATCAGTATTGCAACAGTCACCGAGGGAGAGAGAAAGAGAGATGTCGATGATTTGAATCAAAGTTTTGGACCGGGAAGGCGGGAGATATTCATGGGTCTGAATATTTTAAAATCCAAAATCTAAATTGGGCTCATAATCTCATCTCAAGCCCAATAGGTTTTTGAATCGGGGTTCTAACCGAACCAAACCGGGTTATATAAAATGTGACGTTGTTTGTTGTGCGAGGGAATTGATAATAATAAGAGTATAATAATATCGACAGTGTATGCAACTTGGAAAATAAAATATACGATCAATATTGGGAATGTTGAACATGAAGAAAGGCTTTAAATTTGTTGGACTTTCTCTTTCAAGTAGACGAACGAACGTCGATGATGACCAAAAGATTAAGCAACCTGCTCCTCTTTCTTAATTACTTCTCAAGTCTAAAACATACTTCTAGATGACTATAACTTCTCTCTATTTCGGTTTATGTATATACAGTAAATGAAAAAAAGGGAAGAAAAAGCTAATTGTTGACACATCCCTTGATGTTCTGCTTGTAGATTGGTGTTATGATGTCTTTTACGACGTTACATAGTAAATTAGTAATCAGTAATGTATAAGATTACATGTATCAATTAGATTGTTGTCTTGTGTATACACAAGTTATCACACAACACACACGAGTTATGGAATGTAAAGCATGTAAAAAATACTATTTCTCAATTATATATATACCGACCAAAATTTTAGAACATTGATGATGTGATTGTGTGGATTTATAGCTGAAGCCTAAAAAAAAAAAGTTACGTCAACATTCCAAACACAACAAATTACAATTGAACATACCAAATATATATATATATATATATATATATATTTTAAAACCGAGAAAATCGTAATTCTAATTTATCAAGAACGGAAGAAAAACAAAACATTGCGGTAACAGCCAGCCCCAACGACGTTCATCAAACATTTTCTACTTGTATATATCCATAAATACACTAGTAATAATTTCATACTTTTACTAGTCTTTTCAATGTCTTAACTCGAATCACTAATTAATACAACAAATGTTTCTGTACTAAAGTTTGGTTTTCCTATCCCGTCTAGGTGTACAAGATTGGACAGTTACTTTGGGTAGTTAAAACATCATCCCCCTTCACGGAAATGTAAGAGGATGTTTTTATCTCATATGTAATGAAAATGTAATTTGCAATGCAAGCTCTCTCTATCACACTACCTTATAGTTATAAAGAACAATTAAGAGGGGGAAAACAAATATATTGAAGAATAAAACTGATAAAATTTTCATCACCTACCACTTGATAACTCCATTTCTTCTTCCTTCTCCTAATTCCCTTCCACCAGATTTTCACTGCCTAAGTTTTCAAGTTTTCTCCTTTTCTATTTGCTTAAACTTTTCTTGATTTCGTCTCTTTCTTCTTCTTCTTCACACCAAAAAAAAAAGTTCTACATTCTTCAAAAAAAAAAAAACAAAAAAAAAAACTCTGTTTCCTCTGTTCCATCTAAAACCTTTTGTCTTTTTGTTCTTTAAAGAGTTTCTCTTGTCAAGCTTCATCCGTAGGAGGTAACAATCGTTAGACTGTCATCTACTTGTTCTGTCTTTTATTATCTCTGTATTTGTATCATCCTTTTGCTTGTCCTATGCATCTTTTTAGATGGATGATAATGAAGATGTTAATGATTGCTGCATTTTGTTATCTTGTTGCTTTATTGGGTTATTAGCTACTTAGTGGTCCTTTTTGTATGATTTTGGGACCACTGAATCAACTTGGAGTCTCTTCATCATCAATCCCACAGCATTTTTCATCTAGTTCCTTTCTAGTATTTATTTCTTTCGCTTGCTCTGACTGTTTCAAGCTTTACTCTTCTTTGTTTGATGATTTTGAAATCAAGCAGATTAGGAGAAGGAACAATGTCTACACTTAAGATCTGGCAAGCAATAGTCATCGCCATTGCTCTGTTCATCATAGCCATACTCTCTGTTCTTTCATTTTGTCTCATTTGGAAAAAGAAATCAAGAAGATCCAAAACCTTAACTCTTCCCATCATTCAAACCCCTGCGGTATCCAAAGAGATCAAGGAAGTCAGAATAGAGCATGTCTCAACTAGTAGTAACTTCGATCCTCATGACATAATCAGCCATGAATCTGACAAGTTCTTGCTTAACTTGGATATGGAGAAGAAGAGAGAGAATGGTTTGAGCAGTAGTAGCCGTTCTGGCTCAGGCAAAGAAGGTTCTCTATGTGTTGCAAACCGGTCTTCTTCATCATTGTATGAGATGGCAACACCATCACCTTCACCTCTTTCCGGTTTACCTGAGTCACACCTTGGATGGGGTCATTGGTTTACTCTCAGAGATCTTGAAATAGCAACAAACAGGTTCTCAAAGGATAATGTGATTGGTGAAGGCGGTTATGGAGTTGTATACAGAGGAGAGTTGGTCAATGGGACTCACGTCGCCGTGAAAAAGATCCTCAACCACTTGTGAGTTATGGTCATAGAGAAATAGAGGCCTCTCTCTCTTTTGATCTGTTGATTACTCTTGAAAACTGATTGTTGCTGGACACTGTAGGGGACAAGCTGAGAAAGAGTTTAGAGTAGAGGTAGATGCTATTGGTCATGTGCGTCACAAGAACTTGGTACGTCTTCTAGGATACTGCATTGAAGGCACACACAGGTATAAAGATTGATACTTTGTTTTGTTTAGAGAAGAAAAGAAACCAACTTTTGTGAGTTTGTTGCTGTTAGGATATTGGTTTATGAGTATATGAACAATGGGAACCTCGAAGAGTGGCTACATGGAGCAATGAAACACCACGGATATCTAACTTGGGAGGCTAGAATGAAAGTTCTCACCGGCACATCCAAGGCGTAATTAAGCAAACCATTTACTTCTTTTTTCACATTTTTTCTACTGAAAGTAATGGTTTTTTTCCTTGTGCAGTCTTGCTTATCTACACGAGGCAATCGAGCCAAAAGTAGTGCATAGAGACATCAAGTCGAGCAATATATTGATCGATGACAGATTCAATGCCAAGATTTCTGATTTTGGCCTTGCCAAGTTGCTTGGAGATGGGAAAAGCCATGTGACTACGCGAGTGATGGGAACATTTGGGTAATATATCAAAGCAACTTTTTGTTATCGAGAAAAGAGCTTTAAAATTTATGACTGAGCCATTGTTATTTTCTGAGTATTGCAGGTATGTTGCTCCTGAGTATGCCAATACAGGACTTTTGAATGAGAAGAGTGATGTGTACAGCTTTGGTGTTTTGGTCTTAGAAGCAATAACCGGAAGAGATCCTGTGGATTATGCTCGTCCTGCAAATGAGGTAGATAGAGTATGGATAGATGAATGAATATAAAAATATGATGAATTATGAGACCCATTAACAATCTTTTGCAGGTAAATTTGGTTGAGTGGTTGAAGATGATGGTGGGCAGTAAGAGATTGGAAGAAGTAATTGATCCAAACATAGCAGTTAGGCCAGCGACGCGAGCACTGAAACGTGTTCTTCTTACCGCACTTAGATGCATCGATCCTGATTCTGAGAAGAGACCTAAAATGAGCCAAGTTGTGCGTATGCTGGAGTCTGAGGAATATCCCATACCAAGAGAGGTTAGTGTTTCTTAAAACCTTTTTTTATAAAACAGAAAAGTATGTAGACTTGTAAAAACTTAAGCAAGAATTCAACTTACAGGAGCGGAGAATGCGCAGAACACCAGAGGAAAACTCAGATACAGACAGAAGCACACCAGTTTCAAGATCACAGAGCAAGAGGCTTTAATAATCAGATTACCATTACAAAACAGAGATATTTGCTATGGCGCAAAGTCTTGTCTGTTCTTTGAGAGTTGTTGATTCTTCTGCATTTTCTTGTTCTTGGGAATCAATCTTTTTCTTTCATTTCTTCCGGTTTTTGCATTTGAATTAACAGATGATAGAGTTAAATATACATGTAATATATATGATATGCATAGACATGTTTTGTATATGGAACTGGATTTGTATAATAGATTGGTGTGTATAGCGAGTGTGACCTTACTACACACAAAAAAAACTAAAGTAGCTTACCTTTTGAAGTCTTATTGTACAGTTCAAATAAGTATTTTGACCGTTTGATTACAATTACACTTGCAAGTTGCAACACATAGTAATACAGTTTTCAAATTCACATCCAGAGGGGACAAAAGGTTTTAAAGAGCTTCTAATTGTTTGTGTGGAAAAAGATAATAAAGAACAGAAATCAACACAGTCAATAGCTCGTTTGCATATTCCCGTCGTCATCGTTGCTTCTGGTCCATATGCCTGCAATCATCAATCTTTATGAATTCGAGCTAACCGGTAGATAAAAATATCTCTGTCACATTATTTGATCATTTGAAACATACTATATTCGGTTCTATGTCCAATCACCAAAACTTAACGAGACTTGAAAAAAAAGGAAACATAAGCCAACATTTGCCGCTAGAAGTAGAACAAAGCATTCACACCATACCAAATGCCTTAAGAGAAGAACAACACCAAGGGCTAGGTACTCTTCTTTTTCTTCACGTCCTCCTCTTCTTGTAATTTCGCTACTAAGCTTACAATGTTTTTAGTTTTCATCAAGAAAAAACCACGGAATTCAAAAGATTAGAAATCTCAAATCCAGCAGACAGATTCACCCGTTGAACTCGTCTTATCCGGTGGCTATCTCAAGCGATGCTATCTCAAGCGATAACCAAAAGTTGCAGTAGTCACTCCTGTGAATGAGAGTTGAAGAGAAGAAAAATATATACATTTTCTATAAAAAATCGAAAAATCAATGTGAGAAACCATTATTATTTCCAAAGGTTTGCAAATAGTTACCAAATAAAGATGTTGACCGTTTGATTACAAATTTACAATTACACAATAATACAGTTGTAGAAAGTTTTTAAGAGCTTCTCATTTTTTTTTTACGTGGAAAGAAAGATAAACAACAGAAATCAACAAACTCACTCACTGACTCTTCCGATCTCCAGCTCCAGAGTTTGTGATCTGTTTTTAAAAACAGAAGGTTGGTTATGCATCAGGCAACATGATGCAGTCGATAGCTCGTTTGCATATTCCCGTCATCGTTGCTTCTGGTCCATATACCTGCAATCATCAATCCTTATGAAGGGTGATTTCCGGGTTCAACAGAGTAAATTTTCATAATTTCTCATAGGCTTAGATTGTAACATTCTATATTCACACGGCTGCTAATTTTCCATAAGCAGTGTTTGGTTACCTCTAGGGGAACACCCAGTTCCTCTCCCAAAGCTCGCATTCTAGCCAAACCAGTCTGGTAATTTGGTCCACCTCTCCTTACGTAAATGTGCATTCTTGATGCTTTCAACCTTGTTTCCTGCTCGTGGCACACAAAACAAACTGCTAAAAAACATCGATCTAGTCCTTAGGCATTGCTCTCATCTTCCCAAAAATAACGTAGCAACTATTTTCTTCATTCACTAAAGTACCTTTTCTCTTAGGGCTCTGATGATACCGTTGAAAGTAGCTGCCACATCTGTGAAGTTGGCAATGCCTCCTCCAATAAGAAGAGCTCGTTTACGCCCGTCAGGATCAGCAGTAGCACACTGACAAAGCCCCAACATTTGGTCCGTGAATGTCTAGATTTGATTAGAGAAAAACAGTGAATGGCAAAATCTAAGTTCTTTGCCATGACTCACATCAATGACAACTCTTGCGTACTGTAACACCTCTTCCTCATTAGGTGCTCCACTATACTCCGCGTAGTTTCCAAGTTCGGATGCATAACCTAAATCCCCAACCTTTTCAAACGTAGATAAGGAAAACACAAATAAACTAATGTGAGAAATTCTTCGGAATCCTCATAATAACACTTTCTTTGAACTTTTTTGTTTCCAGTCTTTTCAAATGGCAAGGATATGAGATTGCCTAAATGATAAAAATACAGAGAGCCACCAATTAACACACTAAGTTGATTGGTTCTGCTCATAATGGTGATAATCTGTCTATAATTTGAAATTTAAGTTGATTCCGTGACAATTAGATCATTTCAAGGAGCAGGCATTTTAAGTTCTGTTACTGCAACTCTCTACTTATATAAAAGCTCAGGGTTTCAACTCACTGTGTCAGCATATATGACGCTAGCACCTCCTCCAGCTACCATTGTCCAAATGCGGCCTTTAGGATTCAAAACAGTGAACTTCAAAGAAGCACTTGTCTGCAATAAATAACACACAAATGCATGATCAGTAAAATTACTTTCCTTTTTGAGTCACAGAAGCAGTTTTAAAAGAAAATCCGGCCACTCACACCTTCTCATCTAAACCATGGATGAAGTTCTCCGTTGGACTTAGGACCCTTCCAAATGGCAGAGGAAATTCAATGTCTCCCCACCTGAATTGATTAGAACTTATCAATCTAATGAGTTTCCAAAGAAAAAAGTGATTGCGGATATCTCAACAGGAAGCGTAGAAATGTTAGACATACTTGTTGAAATTCTTGAAGGCAGCAGTGTCGTCCAATTCTCCTCTCATATCCAAAGGGTATGGCTCTCCAGCGACTAGTGTAAAAGGATTCATCTCCATAAAACTGAAATCCAAATCTTTACAGAAAAAAACACAAATAGATGATAAGAAAATGACCTCAAGAAATCTCGATTCAAAGCTCTTCGTATGTGCACAAATGTTTGAAGTCAACATATGGCCAAATCTCATTAATATACCCATACCTTGAAATACAGAAAACGCGCCCATTATGAAATTGCCGATTTTAGCTCGAACCTGAAATGCATAGACACACTCATGAGAGCAGGCTAAGCATAAGTTGAAAGAACCTAACTTAATAATCTCTTTGACATAGACTGCAGTACTTAGAAGCCATAATTTCAGCATCTTCGAAAATGCAGAGGAATACAAAAAAACCAGAGAATGAATGCACATTGAAACCAGATACCAACGTTTTCCTTAAGACAAATTGTTGTACGGTGTTACTGGCTCAGAAGCTTTCAGAGTCACAGAGGATGAATACTTACCTCAAGAGGAAGTGTTGCTATCAATGGAGCACATACTTCTAGTGTCATTGGCTTTTCCGCAGGAAGAAATATAGTTTTCACCTGTTGGTACCATAAACCGCATTATTGAGAGAAAACAACAAAAACTAAGACAAGACAGAGAATGCATGGAAACAAGAAAAGAGCCAAAAGGTAATTACTTTGTCCCAGTTCTCTTCTATTTCAATGCCGCCACATTCAGAGAAGCTTATAGTGCAGCCAAGCCTATCAGATACAATAGAAAGGTAATATTCTTGATCATGAGGCACAAAGGGCTCCACAATGAATGTAGTAATAGGGGCTTTACATCCCTCCATCTCAACCTGCGACTCATGAAAAAAACAAAAATCAATGACACAACAAATCTAACCCGCAGTTCTATGGCTCGGGCGGCTAGGATGAGTCACCTCAGTGCCGAGGCGCGCTTTGACAAACTCAGCAACTTCAGCAAGATCCAGCTTAAGAGCTACCAAGCCACTTTTCCCGCGTTTCCCAAATAGCATATCAGGCTTCACAACTAGCTTTGTAGATGATAGCCATGATTCCTGGTTGGTTAACTCAGTGAAATCCGTAGCTTCTGTCACCTAGAAGTACACAACGGTAAACAAATCACCAAATGTATAGAGGAAACAGTCCTAGTAATCATCAATAGCCATATCCGTAAATCATCCGTACAAGAGAGATAAAAACCATCTTTCTCAAGATTCTCACTTTCATTAGCTCTTAAGTCCAGCCAGATAAGTCTCCTCAATTACAATCAGGCACAATTCATTCAAGAGGTACAATTGAATAATGCTATAGAATTTTGCGTAGTTAAATCCGCAACATATTTAGAAAATCCAAAGCAGATCGATGAGAACAAAAAAAGAACTAGAATTCGTCAAAAAAGTGACCTGAGCAGAGCGAATTTGCAGGTCAATGTTAGCGAGACGCTTCAAGTGTGCCTTGAGAAGTCTCTTAGAGTCATACTCTCTTATCTTCTTCCTCGCCATCGAGTTACGATAGAAATCCAAAGAAAGAAAAACGAAAAACCCAGAATCTGAAACAGAGACAGTAGCAAACGAAACAGTGATCGTCCTTTTAGCTCTTAAATAAATAAAAAGTATTTTCTCCGCCGAAAAATAGCTGAAGCAAAAGAAAAAAGAGAAAAAAAAAGGTGAGAACTTTCGAGACGATAAGATCGAAGAAGTTCAAAAGAAGATGATCTCACCAACACAACACAACGCTGACGCCGCTCAGAACCAGAAGAGACGTTGACGTTGAGCTGTGAGCTGTCGATCAATGTCAACCTACCCACCCCGCCTAAACCACCTGTATTCCCCTTTCCTTAATAACCAACCGGTTCGGTTCAGTTCAGTTCGGTACGGTACGGTCCACTACAACCGAATTCGAGCATTATTATTTGATTTATTCCATTGAGGCTTGAATCAGCTGTACCCAAAACTAGGGGAGTTAAAGTGGCACTCAGGCTTCCACTTAAAGCAGTTTGTAGAAGTTTTCAATAATGTTAGCTATAATCAGTCCCTGAGGAACCATCCTCATGTCTCTCTCCAGTTGCTTGCTTCCCTTTTCTCTATCAGCCACGGCTCCTTCCCCCTCCGCCTGCTCTTCCCGTTTCGCCGCCTCTTTTTCTAATTTTCCGGTAAGGACATGTATTCTTTGTACCTTCTCTTCAGCTTTCTTTGCATGCTTGCGTTTGATCAATAAGTCACTATCAATAAGTCACTATTTGATAAATAAAGATAGTTATTTTCCTTTTTTTAAGCTAAATTTGCTGCAATCTCACCAGAGATCTCAAATTTTGTGTTATTTGCCTCAAGCTTAGTAGGAATTGATTCTAAAGGAACTTGCTTTTTGCTTCAGTTGTTGAAATTTGAATTCTTTTTCTTTATTTGTGTGTGTAGGTTTCGTCAAGAGACTATAGTTCCTTCAGAAATGAAAACCTTGTTCTCAACGGAGGAGGCTCGAATCTCTGCTGGCGATTCTGCGGTTTGAAGCTATGGATACTTAAGAGCCTGCAGCTTAGACAAGGCAGCCACAGAAAACACCGGCCTGTAAACGAGCTTAAAACACGCTCAGATCACACATTCCTCAGCGATGAACTAGGAAAAGACTCAAATACATCTGCTGAAGACCCTTCTTTAGCACTTACTGTGGTTAAAAGTGATCCAGGTTTTACTGAAGAAACTGGAGCTACAGATTTACGACCTGAAGAAAATATTCTGGGAGCTGATTTGAATGATGATGGTTCTCACAAAGTTGGAGACTTACCAGCTGTGTTAAAACAATTCTTGGGTGGTCTTTCGGATGTCCAAATAGGTGCCTCGCTTTGCATTGCTGTTGTAGGAGCTACTGGTGAACTTGCAAGAGGGAAGATTTTCCCAGCACTGTTTGCGTTGTATTATAGCGGCTACCTTCCTGAGGTATGGTTTTGATACTAATGAACAAAATGATCAATGAAAGCTATTGGCTGGTTTTTTTTCTATTGGTATGTCTTTTTGATTGGACTTCATTGGCACAGGATGTTGGCATATTTGGTATTTCAAGAAAAGATATTACAGATGAAGACCTCAGATCCATCATCGCGTCAACTCTGACTTGCCGTGTTGATCATCAGTATATATATTTCTTGTTACTATCTTAAACTTGGTAAATTTGATATGTTCGGTGCTAACTAAGGATGATGTTAATTGTTCAGGGACAATTGCGGAGAAAAGATGGATGCATTTCTTAGTAGAACATACTATATCAATGGAGGTTATAATAACAGAGATGGGATGTCCCAACTTGCCGAAAGAATGAAACAGATTGAGGTAGTCCTCTTTCCGTGTTTACGATATTTGGGACAGAAAAGAAGGCTAAACACTAATACAATAGTAGCATTCCTTCTTCAGGGAGAATCAAAAGCGAATAGGATTTTTTACCTCTCAGTACCTCAAGAAGCTCTCATGGATGTGGCATGCACCATTGCAGAAAAGGCTCAAGCACCACATGGCTGGACTCGTATAATAGTTGAGAAGCCTTTTGGGTTTAGCTCACAGTCATCTCATCAGTTGACAAAGTCACTTCTCTCTAAGTTTGAAGAGAAACAAATCTACAGGTCCTTCTTTTTAGTCTAGTAGCTTTCTGCATTCACAGCTCTCCGAGTTCATCTTTATTCACAGTTTATGTGCCCGTTGCAGGATAGATCACATGTTAGGAAGGAACCTCATTGAAAATCTGACAGTGTTAAGGTTTTCAAATTTAGTTTTTGAACCACTATGGAACAGAACATACATACGCAATATACAGGTAGATGTTTATAGTTGTGTATAGTGCCTGGACTTTCCTCTTCCACATTCTGGTCTGTTCACTTTGTCTATAACCTATGTTTCCAGGTTATTGTATCAGAATCAATTGCGCAAAGCGAAAAGTAAGGCACAATAGTTCTATAAACAAAGATATGGTTTCAGTACCTAATTTCCTACTGCATTTTTTGAAGGTATTCTGATGGATATGGAATAATACGGGACATAGTGCACAGCCATATACTTCAGACAATCGCATTACTTACCATGGAACCTCCGATAAGTCTCGATGGTGAAGATATCCGGAATGAAAAGGTCAACCTGCACTAGCAAAGAACAGAATTGTCTTGTGATATCTATATATATATATATATATATATCAAAGTTGTGTACTCATGTTCTGTCAAGTGACCTTGTGAAAAAAATGCTTCTTCAGGTGAAGGTTTTGAGATCAATTCGCAAACTAGACCCGCGTGATGTCATCCTTGGCCAGTATAAATCTAGTTCCCAGGACAAGAACGGTGTGATATTTAACGGTGTAGACCCTACATATTGCGCTGCAGCCTTGTATATTGATAATGCACGATGGGATGGTGTACCTTTCCTGGTAAGAGTTGGGACAGGCCTCATTAAACACAGGTAAGAATAACTATTCCGGCTCATGGAAATATCCATTTGTCATTACAATTGATTGGTGTGCCTTAATATTCAAAGAGTGGAGATTCGTGTGCAATTCCGGCATGTTCCCGGAAACCTTTACCGAGAAAATATTGGAATAAACATAGACTTGGGGACAAATGAGCTAATTCTGCGTGACGAACCTGATGAGGCCATCCTGGTGAAAATTAATAACAAGGTTCCTGGTTTAGGTCTTCAGCTAGACGCTTCTGAACTTAACCTGCTCTATAAAGACAGGCAAGTTTTGCTTTTCTCATCTGTGTTCCTACACATTTTGAAAATCAAACTTTTGCTCGTTATAGTTATTTGCGTTGTTGGGTCAAACCTCTAGGTACAAAACCGAAATACCAGACTCATACGAACACCTAATCCATGATGTAATTGATGGTGACAATCATCTGTTCATGAGAAGCGATGAGGTTGCAGCAGCATGGGACATTCTGAGTCCGGTCCTAGAAGAAATAGACAAGCACCACACAGCTCCGGAGTTGTATGAATTTGGTGGACGAGGACCAGTTGGAGCATACTATCTCTGGGCCAAGCATGGCGTCCCATGGGCAGATGACTGAAGGAGAAATATAGGCATATTAACTAACAAAGCTTTACAACAAATGAGAATGATTCTGAATCCATGCAGTTCAGATTGTTGAGTTATGGGACCATATGGTTATTGTGAAGTGGTTAGTTTAGCTTGAAGCTGAGCTATTCCTTGTAGACTCTGTAGATATGTATGATATGCTGTTATTTGAATGTCCATCATGGTAGGGTCCATAATTGAGTTGAAAATCTCCAAAGCCACCCAAAGAAAAGAAGACTTTTAGATAAGGTTATGTTGTTGGTCTTCTCACTAGAGGTAATAATTATATCTCCTCCACCAACTCCTGCAGAAAAATCTTCCAATATATCATGTGTTGATGATAGAAAGAGTTATGAAAATTGTGTAGCTAAAGAGAAACATTTTCAAAGGGGAAGGAAGAGAGAGTGGTTAAATGGATAGAGACAGAAAGAAAGTGAAAACGGAGAAGGAAGAAGACGAAGAAGAAAAGATAGATAAGTTGTACACATTTCTTAAAAACGCAAGGGAAATGCGGAAATACCTGATTAGCTCCATGGAGAAGAAGAGACAGGAAGAAGAAAGAGCGAGGGTTCGTAGATTCCCTTCGTTTCAGCCTGAGGATTTCATTTTCATGAATGAAACAGAGGCCAACAACAAAGAAATAGCAGCTGATACGAGCTCTTCAGCATCCAACGAGTACGGCTCTAAGGAAAAGCAAGACGGATCTGGGACTGACATTTGTTTAGACTTGAATCTTTCTCCGTAGTACACATGAGACAGAGAGCTCTTCGGTCTCTGTACATGCAACAAAGAATGTTAATAACTATGTACCAAAACAAAGTTGCCTTTGGATTCTCGTTTGTCTTGAAGAGAGATCTGTATTTACAAAACAAACTATGTAATCACACTTTTCTCTGACATCTAATTAGAAAAGTTCCTTGCCTCATCCCAGAATCATACTATTACTAGTTCTTGCAACATTATCTTTGACTGGCATCATATCGAACAGCTTAGACTCATCATCTATTTGTCCATCTTGTAAATACCCAATAAGCATCACAGTCCAAGAAAACCTTATTCTTATCAGGTATTTTCCAAAACAATGACTCTGCCACATCCACTTTACCACTCTGCACATACCCTTTCACCATCGCCGTCCATAAGACAAAATTCCTCTCCTGCATCAAACCAAACACTCTCCTAGCCTCGTCAATCTCCCCATTCGTCATCTACCAAATGTAGAAGAAGAATGTAGACAATTGAATCGTTTTGTGGAAAAATGAATCGAAAAGCTTCCGAGCTTCATGAATCTGCCATATACGAGAGAGATTAGTGATTTTAGTATTTGCAGTCGGAGGGATGCTTGAGCAATACGTTCGTCGTAGGAGTAACTGTGCCTTCATTCTCACAGTGTAGTAAGTAGTATAGTTACCGAAAAAGAAAGCGAAAAAAAATCTTGTTGACCTGGAAAGATATCACACGGTGTTTAAGTCAACTGTATTATTCTACTGTATATAGATTTTTCGACGAAACTGTTGTGTATTATAGTGAAAAAAGAACAAGACAAAAGAAGAAACTTGGAGATCAAGTAGTAACTCTCCAAGATATTTTCTGAAAACCACAGTAAGACGACAGAAATCTGGAGTTCTCGAAAGATAGATCGATGGAGAACGCAACTACACAGAAAATTCCTCTTCTCACCCCATTTTCGATGAGAAACTTCAACCTTACACACAGGTTCTCTTAAATCTCATTCACACACAAAACTGATCATTGCTAAAATACATAGATTGTCTTAACAAAAACATTCTCAAATATTTACAGAATAGTTATGGCTCCGATGGGGAGATTGAGATCATACGGTTACGTTCCACAACCTCAGGCCGCCTTGTATTACTCTCAGAGAACAACTCCGGGAGGTCTCCTCATCAGCGAAGCCACCGGAATTTCTGAAACTGCCATGGCGTAAGTCTAATTATAAAACCAATTTACCAGAAATGTTACTTTCTTAAGGGTTCTGATTTTTGATTGACTTATTTTTCCCTTAAAGGTATATAAACATTGGAGGGATATGGAGAAAAGAACAAATAGAAGCATGGAAGCCCATCGTTGACGCCGTTCACTCTCGCGGCGGCGTCTTCTTCTGCCAGCTCTGGCACGCCGGTCGTGTTTCTCATCGAGGTTTATAAGAAACCCTTTTTAAAAAGTTTTCTCTTTTCGGATTTGAAGTTGCTCATTTTATGAAACTCATATATAATGAGCAGAATCGAATGCAAGCCAAATAGAGTAGTTCGGAGACTGAGTCATCATAGTTTGAACATTTGTAGATTGGCAGCCAAATGGGGAAGCTCCGGTTTCTTCTACGGATAAGCCAGTCGCCGACGATCCATCGAGTCAGTATAGATTTACCCCTCCGAGAAGACTAACAACTGAAGAAATCCCCACCATTGTCAATGATTTTCGTCTTGCTGCAAGAAACGCAATCGAAGCTGGTAAAAACCCAAACTTCCGATTTCAATCCCAAATTGATTCGATCAAACCCAAGAGAAAAAGGTTCAACCTTTTTGATTTTTTTTGTCTAGGTTTCGATGGAGTGGAGATCCACGGAGCTCACGGCTACTTGGTTGACCAGTTTTTGAAAGACTCTGTTAACGATCGAACCGATAGTTACGGCGGATCTCTAGAGAATCGATGCAGATTCGCATTAGAAGTAATCGAAGCGGTGTCGAACGAGATCGGACCTGATCGCGTCGGAATCAGACTCTCACCTTTCGCTAATTACATGGAATCCGGAGATTCAGACCCTAAAAGCTTAGGGCTTTACATGGCTAAGTCTCTCAACAGATTCGAGATACTCTACTGCCACATGGTTGAGCCGAGGATGAAAACAGTAAGTGAGATTTTCGAATGCACGGAATCACTTACGCCGATGAGAAAGGCGTTTAATGGAACGTTCATTGTCGCCGGAGGTTATACCAGAGAAGATGGGAACAAAGCGGTGGAGGAGGGAAGAGCCGATCTTGTGGCGTACGGACGACTGTTTTTGGCTAATCCGGATTTGCCTAGAAGGTTCGAGCTCGATGCGCCGCTGAATAAGTATGACAGACCAAGTTTCTATACTACTGATCCTGTCGTGGGTTACACTGATTACCCATTTCTCGACACTACAGATTAAATCTCTTTTCACTTCAACTGTTATGGTATGCCCAAGTCCGTTAACTGTGACCGGGCTTTATACGAAATAAAAAATTCGGAAACCTTTGAGAGTTCAACTTTATTCTGCAACCAATCCAACCAAAGCCAAAGGCTTCATTTACCAGCTTAAAAAACAAAACCGAAACAAAAAGAAATTTTTTCAAACTTGAATAAAACAAGCACATAACATGAATGATGTCACCTGTCGCAGAAGAAGTGGAAGGGAGTTGGTGGCGTAGAGTATTGCATGGACAATAATTTCATGGCTACAATGGCGTTAGCCGTCTCGGTGTAGTGTATTCCATCCCAGCTTATAAACCTAGACCCTTCTTCGCAACTTTTAGAGCCACCGTTGCCACACGTTATGTTCACATTGTAGTTATAAGGAGGCCCTCCATATCCGCAACACGCCATTAACGGTTTTTCAAAGCCTGCACAAACCATTTGCGTTTTCTGAATATCTATAGCCATAATATTTGATTCGGATGTTTTGGCTTAGTATATATCCAAACTGAAGGAAAAATGAATATCAATTGGTTCAGGTTTTACACATGCTTGATGCTACACACAAAGATGCTTAACGAATTCACATATATGAATGTTCTGTGGACTGTGATGATATACCGTGTAACACTAGTTGTTGTTTACTAATGTGTATAAAAGCTTACCATAATTGCTGGAGTTTGCTATGAGATCGTACTTGATGGCAGAAATGTCAACATGGACAATATTGGCCTCTCTCAGCTCTGTCCTCAGCTCCCGACACATATGATCCAATCCTTCGTTGAACAGTTTTGCAGCGGCGTTATAACTCGCAAGACAACCGTACTTATCGAAAACTTTGCTCTGAACCATTGAAAGTTTCTGAGGCAAACAACCTAAAGGTCCTGTATTGTGAACCCAAAATTTTCTCCCTCCTTCATTATACAATATCTGCAATTAAAAACAAAATTCAACAAATCAACTTCATGGATTGAAAGGTCACACATAGTGATTTTGCTTTGTTTGCGTTTGCTTTGTGTTATGTACTCTGGTGATTTGTTTTCTGTTAGTTAGTCGGTAAGCTAGCAACTTTTGGCGTTTGAGTGTGGAAGTTTTGACCTTTATGGCACTTTTGATCTCGGAAATAACGTTGGGAATAACAAGCTTGGAAACCCGGGAGTAAGAAAGGCCTTTGGAAAATGAATCCGCAATATCATTCTGCCCGATATCGATCATGTACAAAGCGTTTCTGAATCCACTCTCACTTATCATCATCTCTTTCAAAGGATCTGCACAACACAAATGTAAAGGTACTTCTTATAATAAATAGCAAGTCAATAAGATTGCTATAAAGAGTTGATTGCTATCAGTATCAAATAGAGATACCTGAAGTAGAAGCAAGCTCGAGTGCTCGGGATTTGAAATGTTGGAACTGCATGAGCTGAATGTTGAGTGCGAAAGGAACATATCTGGGAAGAGTAGAAGATCCAACGATGGCGAAATTAGCACCGTTTTGGAACTTTGATCCAACCAATGAGTCTAAATATGGGTTCAGTAGACTTGTATTCAGACTCTCGCCTGCACATTAATTTCAAAATTTGTAGAATTGTTACATTCATTTAGTATTAAAAGTTTGTTATATAGGAAAATGTTGTTACAACACTTCCAACTTCTTCACTAATCACCGAGATCTAAGAATTGGAATCTGCACATGCGTTACAGTATTTAAAATATTGAACAACATGTGTGTGATTTGGACAAGAACTTAAAACTCATTAAACTGCACGGCGCTGTTTGACTCTTTGGTCACGCAATCTAATACAGTAAAACGGGTGCGTGTGTTCCAAGCGCCGAATCTACAACGTGGGACCCGCTTTTTTATTGTGACATCTTCCTTGTAATAATGGGGCCCACTTTGTCTTGGATTAGATTTTCATCGTTTCAACGAGTAATTGTGTCGTTTTGTGAGATTACGTAATGCGATTCTCAGCCGTTGATTAGAATTTACATCTGTTTCATCGGACGGTTGTAACGGCTTGATCCCACTACCACTAAATCTCAACCGTCTAATAGTTACTAAAGTCGAGAAAAAGCTGACTTACAGAGGAAATCGATGACGAGACGTCCATCGGACAGTCGGCCGGTGGATCGCCGGAAAAACGAGCGACCGTTGGGAAGACCAATGTAGTAGCCGAGTCCGGCGGTGAGTCCACCCGTGTCGGAGTTTGAATCTCCAAAGTTAAAGATCACGGGAGGAGATTGACATCCTTCAGCCACCGCCAAGTGATGCCGGAGATCAAAGATCACCGGGAGGAGAGTGAGCAGGAAGAAGTAGTAGCAGTGAAGAGAAAGAGTAGCCATTGGAACTGGAAGAAGAGACTGATCGATAGTAGTAGTGGTGTGAACAGAGAGCCCTTTTGTAACAAAATGGTAAGCCTAGCTTTAGTAGTGTGTGGGATCTTGTTTTTCCTTTTTTAAGCTTTTATTAGTAGTGTGATCCTTTTAATTTAATTTGAAATAATAAAGCCAAAGACTTTCTTGTTAATTGGTGGTTGATAGTGACTCACACACATAACTCAAGCTTATGCATATCGAGATCGATACCCAATTTAGTTTCCCACCGTTGGGAAAAGAAAATAAAAAAGAGAAGGTGATGTGAGTTACTTATTAAAAAAAAAACAGAATAAAACTAGTACTATGATTTTTTTTTTTTTTTAAGATTACTATGGTTGGTAAGTTTATATACTTCTGTATTTCATTTGGGCTTTTGTATCATTATTGGTGGCTAATATGCTAATATTCTTTCGATTCAAAAGTTTAGCCCACAAAGGCAAAAGTGATGTGGGCATGATAGAATGAATAGATTTGCATCGAGACGCTATAATCACACTTACTATACGTAATGCATCCCTAATACATCCAAAACCAACAACGGAAAAAATCTTTTGGTACGTAACAACGTAAAGATAAAAATATGCGGCGAAAATTTACGTTGGAACTTGGAAAACCAACTAATTAAGTGAGCGACACGAAAAACCAATTTGTTTTGGAGAAGCCAACGTTAGCTTCCTTCTTTGACTTAATGCAAATGGAAGCAGGAATATTGTATTAATCATAATTAGTCATCTTCAATTTGAAACAGCATTTCGTGTAATACCAATTAAATCCAGCAAAATATGAATCATCCCCAACTTTCTCGAAATTTCAACAAACATGAAAGTTTAACGTGTTCTTTTCGGTATACCTATGTTTTTTTTTGTCCTCTACTATCAAAAGAAGATACATTCTTGCTCAAGGAAGTTACTGTGTACGGTACACCTAAGGAAAGGCCTTTAAGCACAAGTAAGGCCCTTTAAGCACAAATAAATGGCCCCAACACACACACACATAATATATAGTATGTACAGTATGTACTCAAAACGAAACATGTAATCTCTATTGATAAATGTAATGCGTTTGATTCAATTCATATTAAATTTCAATTTCAAAAAATATTAAAATATATTATAATCATATTAGACACGCACACACACCAAAAAAAAAATGTTTGAGAAAAAAAGTAAGAGTGGTGAAATGAAAATCAATCAAAATGATAGTATAACAATTTTTAGCAAAGAAAGAATGGTTAACTTGATAATGATTAATGATGATAAATGAAGGGATAAACCAAACCCTTGAATTAATATTCACAGAGAAACGAGTTTTAGCAAAGCGAGTTTGGTTGCTTGAAGCTTGAGAAAGGCATTCATGCATTCTCTTACCATTCATTCACAATCTCCACCAAACCCATGAAAAAACGGAAACCAAATAAAAGGGACTGAAAGAGAGAGGATATATATAAGTTTATTTTTTTCTTTCTACAAAACGGCAATGTGAATTTTATAATAGTAATCAACAAGGAGAAAAAGTTATACAAATTGCCAAAAATATCAAATGATACATATCATCTACTGTTTCGTGTTCTTATGCCCTAAAGAGAGCACAAGTGTTACAAGCAAACTTCATTCTCGAACCGTTTCTCACCTTTCTGTTTAAAACATCTCTCTCGCCCTTTCTCCCTCTCTCTCTAGTCTATATATATATATCAATATAAATAAATAAACGTATATATATATATATATATATGTGTGTATATATATACCTTTAGCTATAAATATAAGAAGGTTGAACAAAAGTAGAGATAGATTTGGGGGAAACTAATAAACATCAAAGAGAACCCACCTCTCTCCTTTTTTTTTCTTGGTTGCTCGACCTATTATTACTGATTAGTAATAGTGAGAGAGATATACATATAGATATATATATAAACACATAAAGTTTGAAGAATAAAATAAACGTGAGAGAGAGAGAGAGATGGGTAAATCAAGAGATATGTTGCCGTTCTTGGCGATGGTGTTGGTGCAAATCGGCTACGCAGGCATGAACATTACGTCGAAGATGGCTATGGAGGCCGGCATGAAGCCTCTCATTCTGGTCGCTTATCGCCAAATATTTGCCACTATCGCCACTCTCCCGGTTGCAATTTTTCTAGAAAGGTAGAAAAACCATGCTAATATCTACATACATGTACATGTTATTTTTGGTCAGCTAACGCTTTTGGACATGCATCAATATATGATTGAAACAAGTTGCATCCATACAATCTTGAATTTATGTTTGTTTCTTGAAAGGCATTGTTCTTATTGCTTTTTCATGTTAAATTTATTAAGGTTTTACGTGTAGTCATGATCGGTCTAGGTTTTACAAAGATCAGCGAGAGATCGATATGCTTAACTTTTGTTGTCATTAACCAGGCTAAATTTTCTTTGATTATTGCGTTTGGGTTTAAATCGAATGTCTTAAAGTGTGTGTTTTAAGTGCGAAAGTACAAAGTGATGACATCATTCATAAATATAATGGGATGAGTGCGTGTATTTTATATATATTAGCGAATGAAACCATTCATTTTTACTAAATGGTTTTGTGAGTCTGTTGTAGAACGATTTTACTAATTACTTTACAAAGTTCAACAAAAATAAAGCTTTTTAAAGTTTATGACATAGAAGTACCACTAATTACATTTACACATTATTTTTTTGTTGGTCTAAGATTTTATTTTTTTCTTATTTTTGTTAAAAACTTAATTCATCAGTACTAGGTTTGAATAGATTAATTTAGTTCCATTAATTACAATTTTGACAACTAATTAATACCATCATTTTGGATGATTAAAAAGTTTAAACGATAGATATATAACTAGGAAGGAGAGTTTAGCACGACATCGTTTATAGTCCGGAGATAACGATATAGATTACGCACATTATGGTGATTAAGCAATACGTATATGGATTTCGGGAATTTTGAAGAAAAAAAGGTGGTAAAGTGCCACAGATAAATAGGTTTCGAAATTGGATATACACTAGGCAATAGCTAGCATAAGCATTATGCATCTTTGTTTGTTTCTTTTATTGAAATTAGTAATTTACCGTTATCATTACAACATCTCTGGTACTGTGAATCACTTTGGTCGTATGTGGAAACCTAAAAGTAAATTACACTATCATTAATTCCGATTACCGAGAGAAAAGAAGTGAGAAATGTGACGCAGTCTCTCACACAATGCACGCGTCACACGTTTTTCTTTCTTTTAACCGAAACACATGCAGACAACACAAAATATGATGCCAGGTGAGTTAAGAGAAAGCGTCGTCAGGTGCCGTGCCAACTTTATTTCCCCACGACACGTGCTTCCTTATACGATGACGTTTTACTCTCTTCACTCACTTTATCTGAATGATTGATTCTTTCGATTTTTTCCTTCAGTCATTCTGTTGGACTTGTTTAGCCGGTTGGGTTTTCCTTCAGTCATTTAAAAGAATTAACTAATTTTAATGATTAGGGACCTAAGTATGAAATTTCGTACACGTTTTCTTGTGCAGGAAGACAAGACCGAAGATCACACTTAAGGTTCTTGTCCAAATCTTCTTCTGTTCCATCACAGGGTATCTACTACATCATCCACTTTACCTACTTATTGCAATCTCAATTTTTTGTTTTTTTTTACTATAATTGTAGACAATTCCATTTCTCTGAGTTCTTACCAGAAAAAGATTAAAAAAAAATAAAGCGTTTTTTGTAACACTAAATTTGACCCTGATTTAATGTGCAGTGCCACTGGAAACCAAGTGCTATACTTCATAGGACTTCAGAATTCATCTCCGACCATTGCTTGTGCCTTGACTAATCTCTTACCAGCGGTTACGTTCCTCCTCGCCGCAATATTCAGGTTATGTAGATGTAATAAATTTATTAAGTTAAATTCAAAAAAAATAAAAAATAAATAGAAAGTTTCCATCAAACAAAACTCTGTTTTTCACTGCTAACACAAAACTATACATTTTTCAGACAAGAAACCGTAGGGATTAAAAAGGCATCAGGACAAGCCAAAGTGATAGGGACGCTAGTGTGTGTGATCGGAGCCATGGTTCTCTCCTTCTACCATGGTCACACCATCGGCATTGGAGAGTCCAAGATCCATTGGGCCTATGCTGAAAACATAACGAGCCAAGGTTCCAGTTCTAGCAGTTCTAACTTCTTCTTGGGACCTTTTCTTATTATGGCTGCTGCCGTTTCTTGGGCCGCTTGGTTCATTATCCAGGTAACTTCCTTTTTTTTTAAATCAGGTTTTATCTTTTCTACATTCAAAAAATAAATCAGAATTTGAAACTGTGAATATGAAATAAAGCCCAAAAACCAAAATCCCCTAATATACCTTTAAGGTTTTGTACCAAAAAAAAAAAAACCCTTTAAGGTTTATTAATTTTAAGAAATGTTATTTTGGTGACAGACGAAGATGAGTGAAACATTTGCAGCACCATACACGAGCACACTTCTAATGTGTTTGATGGGAAGTATCCAGTGTGGAGCCATCGCTTTGATCTCCGATCACAAACTCTCTGATTGGTCTCTCAGCTCTCCTCTCCGCTTCATATCCGCTCTTTACGCCGTATGTTTTACCATTATACTATGCATTAATACATATACTATGAATTAAGCTTAGCTAGTATATGATAATATTTAACATAAAACACGGATGCAGGGAGTGGTGGCGTCTGCGTTAGCATTCTGCCTAATGTCATGGGCGATGCAGAGGAAAGGTCCTCTCTACGTCTCTGTTTTCAGCCCTTTACTTCTAGTAGTCGTCGCCATCTTCAGCTGGACTCTTCTTGACGAGAAACTCTACACCGGCACGTACGTATCTACACACCTTAATTAATCTCACTCTCTATATATAAACATAACATACACAGCGGGGTGATTATTAAATGATATGATATATGTATTAACAGGTTTTTGGGATCAGCACTTGTGATTATTGGGCTCTATGGCGTATTGTGGGGGAAAGACAGAGAGGTGACTGAGAAGGATGAAGAAGCAGAGAAGGTGAAACAACAACAGCATAAAGTCAAAATTGAGAGTAATGAAGATATAGAATCGAGATTACCAGTCGCATCTAGTGGAAATGGTTCCACAGGACCTATATAGCCTTAAGACCTTAGAACCCTGCTTTTATCATATAAGTAAGAGCTGTGAAGCCTTTTGGTGGTTTTATGCTGTCTTTAAGTTACTGCAACTTAAATTGAATATCCATTTCCGGAGTGTTTACCTTTGTATCCCATTTTGAGGCCAATGATGGAATGTTTAATTTGTGTGTTATTTGCAGTCTTCATGCCATGGACACTACTACATATATCACTAATTATGATCTCTATATTTTCATAATTCTGTTGAAGAGTACCTAACTTAACTCTGTCACAGCCTCACAGGGTTAAAATGTAAGGAAGTGGCTTCAAACAGAGGGTTTCGGTTTGGGCAAGTCAATTACAAATTGACAGTCACGGTTTAACCCTGGTTTAGTAACCCAAGTGTGTGGTGAATAACTGAATATAAAAACTAAAACGAATGAAAACAGAGCAAACTGCTATGTTGCTTCAACTCCGTCTTCTTCTTTATACTTGATTGCGACTTGCGAGTATTATCTAAGTTCATGTACCTGTTAGTCGATAAGGATCGTATATTTGCAGGAAAGACTTGGCTGAGATTAGGTTTGCTGGTAAGAGATATTTACATAGAGGAGCAACATGCGATATAGTTTTCATACTTACATAACCGATTTGGACTAGTTGAAGGCACTAATTATTAAAATTAAGTAATGTTTTCAAAAAATAAATTAATGAAAGTGACAGTATTACACACTAGTTGACCGGCTGACTCAGCGATAAGATCAAAGAATCCATAAAAGGACAAAGGAATCAAATCTTATACTAATTCTTTTGGCAATAGGTGTAAACACTTAGAGAAAAAGCTATTCCTATATCCAAGTGCTTATCCTTGTCAACTCTAATCCAACCTTAGCATCACCAAACAAAAAAACATATCAATATATTATTGGTTAACTCTGTAAACATTTGCTTCAGTTACATTTACATATGTTTCAACAACAAAATTATGAAGAAACCATATGACAAACGATATTTTCCATGGATACTAAAATAATAGTCTGTCTATTTTTCTCAATCAACGGATTGATCTCATAACCGGGTACTGTGAAGTCTGTCTTACAGATACCAACGGCCGTAGAAACTTTATTTTTGACCTTGACGATCTTACTGTAGTAAGCTTGGTTGAAGAAAGATATAGCATTAGTGAACGCCAAGTTCACAATGGAGTAAGCGTCAGCGCACATTTGAAGATCTTCCCTCTCGTCTCCAGCATCCCTGAGGAGTGTGCTGATGAAGAAATAAGTGTTTGCTGAGAACCTTTCAGCTTCTCTAAGAGTCACGTTCATGAGATCTTTGTTGCTTGGGGTAGGAGTAACCAGGTTCTTGACCAAGACACCATTACAGAATTTGGTATCCGTTGTCTGTTTGCAGATCCCGTTCACCATTTGTTGAGTTTTTCCATTGAGAAAAGCTTCTGCAACGGAGAAAGCGAGTGTAATCGCCAAAACTGTCGATAGAATATTGCTAGGCAATTTCATGTTTGGTGTTCTTTTTTTTGTAAATTGTGAGTGTGTGGTCCTTAGAGCAAGAAATTTTTGATCTTTATATTAAAAGTTAGGCATTTGAATGAATTTTAGTCAAAAGTCAAAAGTCTTCCTGAGTTACCTGAAATTCCGTGTAAGCATTTGTGAATTCAAGGAAAAAAAAATATTTCCAAAAATATTACACTTGTAAGGTAAATACAAAAATATTAATTAATTGTATATGTTATATTAATTAATTTTAAGCATACTGTATTATATTACATTTGTAAGATAAATACAAAAAACAGTAACAATTAGTAAATATGGTATATTTAAGATGTATTTTGATATGGTTAAATATATAATGGGAATTTATTATTTTTTTAGAAAAATAATGATGAAATAGCCTATTCAATTATTAAAAAAAAAACTTATCTAAGTGCATGTCAAGATCTTAAATCTAACGGGCCAATGACAAAAACCAACTTAAATTAATAACTCATCAAAAGATTATAATATTTGGTTTGGCTACGCATCTGACGCAGATCTGAATCATTTTGTAATTAAGTGTATAGGATTTTTTTTTTTTTTTTTTTACCAATTATAAGAAGATTTTGTTTGACTACTTAAATGTTCACATCATTTAGTGCCTCGAAAATGCAAATGAATGAACTCTTTTTTTTTTCTCCCTGTTGAAGACAGGAGAAGAGAGAACTTCGCTATCTACCAATGACCGGAGACCAGAAAAGGGAATAGAGAGATAAGCCTTATACATCAAATGAAGAACTAAAGAAGGTGAATACATCGAAGAATGCTACTATATATATGAGATGTTCTATATATATGAGATGTTAACCAAATCAGTCAATGGCGACTAAGTTTTAACATTGTTTAGATTTTATCCAAGTTTATCAAAAACTTTAGAATCAAGAAAAGAAAGACATGAGGTGAACAAAAAAAAAGAAAAGAAAAGAAAGACATGGTTATTTGTTTTTATTAACTTTAATTTTATATCAATGAAGCATTAGTTGTTACATACCATTTATTAATAAATGAAATACTGCGGAGTAACTATTGATCCAAGCAAGGATGCTTTTCCATTTTTTACCATGTATCCGGAAACGGCAGACATGGTGATCAATATTCTCATAACTCTCTTCTTCTCAGTTAGAAGATTTCTGTAAGGAGGAATAAGTAAATCGGTCTTACAACCATCTAAGATCTTAGCTGTAGACAAAATGGTTTTAACCATATGTTCGTACTCCTTTTTTGAAAATAGAAAGCGAATTTCTAAGAAACTAGTGATCTCTCTATTAAAAACTGCATGACAAGTCTTGAGACCAGTCTTCTCCTTAGGACCGGGCCACTCATGGAAGATATTATCAATGAAAATGTAAGTATCATTGGCCTGATCTATAGCGGTGTGTAATATGAGAGCGGTAAGTTCTTTGAGAGTAGCTGTTGGTGCCTTCAATTTTTCATGGATGATTTTATAACAAAATCCATAATCTTCGTTTTCTACGCAAATACTCCTAATCAATGCTTCTGTTGGTCCATCAACTTCGACTGCTTCAATATAAGGAGTCAAAATGTAGAAAACAAGAATGATCACTAGGAAAATACCGCGCGGGAATTTCATATTTTTGTAAATTTAAATTTTATTGAAGAGATTATGTTGGATAGATCCTTGAATAACATGTTAAATAGTTGAAGTAGCTAGCTCATTAATGTTTTCTTTGATAACTGAGTTTCCAAAATTATTGAGTCAACATGTAGGAAAATTAAGAACTTACCCAACAAAAATATATCTGGTCTAATTAAGTATTATAGTATAAGTTTTTAAGAATGTTTATAAATGATTCATAAAGTTTGAATATTTAATTTATATTAAAATTTCCTTTACTAATACTAGTAGTACAATATATATATTTTTTTTTGTCATCAACGAACTAAAGGAGAATACTCAAGAGAGCCGTATAATATACAAAATGAATAAAAAAGATTACAACGTTCTGTAATATATGGATTGGATCCTATTTTAATGAATCTCATTAATTTCCAATATGGTTTTTACCGATTATCAAAACATAGAATTTTCTTTTATATAAACTGTTGGGGTAACAATTCTCTTAACAAAACTATACTATTATTTAATATATCTTTTCGGAAGAGAAATCTTTAGGCTTTAGCAAACATACAAGGTACAGAGAGGGTTTGGAGATTAAACACTCTAAAGTCACATAAAAACGGGAAAACACAACTTCATACAATAATTCCTATTTAAACATCAGCAGTTTCACAAGCTAATTAATAGCAAATAGTTGTTGACAAGAACCTAGTGCAGCCCTTACAAAGTTGTCTAGGCCGCCGATGGAGCTTTGGCGCAGTGAAGCACATTAGCCTCAGACAAGTCTGTTAAAAACTGTGGAAGGGATTGCTGTTTCTTTTGGACATCTTCTTTTTGTCTGCAATGCACATTTACGTTCTTGTAATCAAGTGACTCGTCGTTGTAAATGTCCCACCATTTCTCTACAAGCATCTTGATATCTTCTCTCTCCATATTTTGTTCTTGGCCTGTGAACCTGATGATACAAACAGAGAACCAACTTCAGTTCTTTCATCTTAATTCTTAATTTACATTTAGAAAATTTAGACGAAGAGAACTAGATCCTTACCTCCAAGGCTTAGCACCAGCTGCACAGTAATGAACAACTTTGGCTTCATTAAGCTCTATGTTCTCTGGATGCCTCCAGAGCATAGCCAAGACAAGATTATATACCGGTGGAATCGGCTTATATATATCTTTGAAGTACATGTTCAAGAAATCCTATAAAACGCACAAAAATCAATTGAATCGTGTCCTCTATATATATAATTTTAATTAAGACCTATAATATTTATAATGAAACTGCAAATATATAATGATATAAATATGTGTGTTTGTTTTACCTGTTCAGCGAAAGGTGTGGGAGGGATAACTTTGAGAGTGTCCAAAAGGTTGTAATAAGTGGCGAGGCTTGGTTCGTAAACGAACATTCCGGCGTTGAAGTACAACGGTGGCTTAGGACCAAGCTGCTCCGTGTCAGGCCATGTCACCTTGTCCGGACACTGCTGGCAGTAGCCGATCTTGTACTGAGGAGTGTGGCTCCATGTCTTCTCGCAGAAACAGTCTTTAACAGCGTAGAAACTACCGTCGGGAAGATCGAACAAGTGATCTATGTTCTCAAACACTTGTATGTCTCCGTCTAAGTATATCAGCTTGCTGTACTCGACAAACTGCATTCACATATTTTAGTGAAACCTATACATATCAAGAAAACTTAAAACATATAATTTATGTTAAAATGATATGTACCTCCCAAATGCGGAGCTTAGAGTAGTTGAGGACGTAGTAAGCCATGGCAAACTGAGTTTGGTTATCCGGCGGGTAAACCGGGTGAATATCCTTGATGAGACAGCCTTGATCCACTAGCTGTCTGCGGTGATCCAGGGGCACGTCCGGTAAGACAGCAACCACTAATGGGTACTTGCTGTTAGCTTTCCTTAGGCCTTTAGCCAGACCAACGACTCCTTTCACGTAGTCTCCGTTCCCGGCAAGGAAAGTCACGTAAGCCCTCTGCTTCCCTCCGTAGCTCAACTTGTTGTTCATCTCAGGTGCCATTGATCTTGTCGGAGAATTATGAAAGAACGAGAGAGAGAGAAACTACTTCTTATTAGTGATGCCCTTGAGTTGTTGATTAGTGTGACTTGATTGTTGGTGTGAGAAACCAAGGTTGGGCTTTTATAGGAATTTGAAGGCCGGTGGTTATGGCTAATTGATAGTGCATGCTACATTTACAACTTAATTTGGAAAATGATGACGTGGCGATATAGTAGGAAACGTGTCACACAGTTTGGTAAATAAGTGAGGGTGGGGTCTATATACTATAGATACTACCACGACGAATGAAAACTTGTGATTGGTTGGAGCGTCTCTGTCTGATTTCATACAAGGCTGTGATGAAGCCACGTGGCGAAGAGGAGAGCCCACGAGACATATTGATTGGTCATATTTTCTTTGTCCGAACCCTTGACCGACCTACTATTTTGCGTAGTTGGTTATTCTATAACGTTGATATTTTCTTCTTTTTTCCTAACGTCAAGATTTTAAATTATAAAAAGAACCAAAAGTTTTTCCTTTTATTTTATTTTATTTTGGGTCACAAAAAACCAAAAAATGATATTACATATACTTATATATATCGCATTACTAGTTTACATTACAATTTTTTTTTCTTTTTGTTTTTCCTTTTTTAATTTGTTTGCATAATTAATTTTCTTGGCCTTGAGATTGCATCAAGTAATTTCGGGCCATCTAAAATTTTGGATTCAATTTATTTTTGTAGTTTACTATATATTTTTGTTTTCAATTTTACAATTTGTTTTAATATACTATTGTAAATTTCAGTATGGAATTATAAGATGTGGTATTAGTTACAAAAAATTGTTTCACTAGATGAGGGCTTAACTTACCCAAAAAATGAAAAAAGAGAGAACTCGATTCAAGGAAATATATAGCTCATGAGATTACCAAAATTCTTTTTGTTCTATCGGATCAAGATCGTGTCTCGAAATTTTTTGTCAGTTTTTTCTGAAGAAAACTTGGAAAGTCTTGTTATGCAATCTGATATGCCAAAATCCGCAGATCACCGAGCTGACCATTAGCTAGCTGCCTTAGTGTGGTGGGCGTTGTTAGAATTTTTATCTAAAACCAGCACTGCAGTAACATTTTTACGTACCGACATAGTGGAAAAGGAAAAAACGTACCGACATATAAAGGTATAGAAAAGAAGCAAAATGATATTAGTTAGGATGTTCAATGATTATGTGTAGCTACGACTTTTCAAGTAATCCTTCTAGAGCAGCCAAAAAAGAGAAGACTAATTCATTTTTGTAGTATGCACATTCTACTTTGGAATCCAAACTCCACACAAAAGATACCGTGAGGTCCTTCTTCCCACAAGATTACGACCTGCAGTGGCCAAACAAACCTCTCCTTACCAAAGACACGATGAACCCTCACATGCATTTTTTGTAACTTTGGTCCCAACAATTAATTTACGTTGAATGAAGAGTTTTCCCGTCATTGTTTATCACATAGTGCCTGTTTTGTTGCGGTTGGGCGACACATCTGCGGTAACCTGTTTCTGTCAATTATATTCAAAATGTCCAAATAACTAGGAACAAAATTGCTCATAAGGAATATTTTTTTTTTTCGTTGTTGTTGCATATATTCAAGTTTGAGTAGTTTTCAACTGGTGAAGATTTTCCATTACTGACTTGTTGATGCTTTCAGGTCCCCATGTTTTTGGAAACTGTACATCAGTACATGACAGCAAAACAGAAACGATTCTCCCGTTGATGTTATGCATCATCTTATTTAAGCTGAAAAAGACGTTTGAGGCTTCAATTATTTTTGTTTGCGTAAAATCCTTGTGTTTTTAAAAAAGATTGTATACTTACGCAGTCAAAAGTCAAAACACAAGAAAAAAGGCAAAAGAAACAGACCAAGACATATGTTGACTGTTTAGACTACTAGGTTAATTGCAAAACCTGGTTTTATAGACTTGTTCGTCATTATAGGATAATGCCTTATATCCCACATCGGTGAAGTGGCTCAAGAAGGCATGAAACGTGTCTCTATAAGTTACGATGCAATCAGCTTCTTTTGATGTAGGCTCCAAATACTTTCCTGTTAAAAGAGATGGGCTGCATGTTCTAAGACTCGGGAGCCCAATCAAGTTAAAGCTTGACTTGTCCCCTATTATAAGAGATGGGCTGCATGTTTTAATACTGGGGAGCCCAATTAAGTGTTAGCTTGACTTGACCTGTATCGACCGGACGGTATGTAGCGGGTCAAGCATCTAGCCACAATGTACTTTCTTGTGGTCTAATTTTTGGGAGGCCATTTAAATTACAAACGCTGGGATTCGATTTTTTGGTTCGGTTTCGACTTTTGAGCAATGAAAAAAACTGGGACCGTATTAAAACTGAAATTTAATTTGCTCAGTCGGTAGTGGCCTAGTGGGTATGGTTGATAGTTTGGTTTGGTTCGGTTCAGACTTAGAAAGAGATGCCGAACTTGAAACCAAATTCCTAAAATACCAAGTGAGACATTAAGACCCATAGGTTCAGACCGTCTCTTTTCAAGTTTTCAGTTACTTTCTCGGGTTGTTTATCATAAGTGACTTCTTTAGAAAAGTCGATCAAAGTCCGAACCAAAATATACGTGAGATGACGATAAATGTGAGAATCTTAAGAGATCCGGGTGATGACAATCAAAACAAGCCAAGAATGTTGATTTTATATGAGCAATTTTTAGGATTGAAGTACAAGTTTCTTGCTTAGAATCATGTCATCAGTGGTGAAATCCGCTTCTTTCCTGAAAGTTCCGCGACCGAAATCAAGGTTGTATGAGTCAGTGAGACCCTCTACCAAGTCGAACTCTGGTTTCCATCCCAGCACATGCTTGGCTTTCTCCACCGATGCAAAGAAATGCTGCAAGATCATACATAAATCAAAACCCCAACTTTTAGAATGGACTCTTTGATGTTGCAGCCTAAGTCATTCGAACTTTTTAGTTTTTACCTGGTCACGGAAAGGGAATGCCTTCTTCTTCCCAAAGTCGAACTCTTTCGGGTTGTAGTGCACAATCTCTGGCTCTGGAAACCCACCAGCCTGAGAGAGATTTGAAAACATGAATAAATTTACTCAAGCACTGATCCAAAAAGCTCAGAGATATATATCTCAAACAGGCCATATGTATTCAAAACATTTTGGATAGAACAGACAACAAGAATGTACCTTTGCGCAAGCTCTTGCTAACCCATCAAAAGTGACGTATTTCTCCCCTGAGATGTTGAATATCTCTCTGCTGGCTTTCTCGTTACCAAGCACCTTGAGAAAGGCTGTTGCCAAGTCCTGAAATCACAGAATCATCTGGTGTTATTGGATTGAGATAGTGCTGAGTTTGAGTTAAGAGGGTGTCCTATAACATAACAAGTGCTCTGAACATGAAAGTGAGCTAAAGAGCATTAGAGAAAGTAGTGTGTGACCTTAACATGACCGAGTTGTGAGATCTGTATCCCAGAGTTTGGAACTGGGATTGGGCGACCAGCTTTGAGACGGTGGAAGAACCATTCTTCGACAGGGTTGTAGTTCAATGGACCGTAGATGTAGACAGGACGAATAGAAGTCCAGTTTACACCTTTTGATTGCAGTAAGCTTTCAGTCTCCAGCTTCCCCTTGTGCCTGCTCTTAGGGTCAACTGCATCCTCCTGCATTGGTTATGTCCCATAAAGTTACTACAACTGGGGTCGGGTAATAAACTTCTGAGTGAGATCATATGACAAAATCACAATATATATATGGAGAATCCCGAGAAATACAAGCTCATATTCTTCCAGGAATAAGAATTAAGATATATTTTCTATACCTCACAGTGTGGCAAGATATCAGATTTCAGATAAACACCAGCTGAAGAACAGTAGATGTACCTATAAAATTAACGGCAAATTACAAATATTGAAAGGCTGTTTTTTGGGAGCTATCAACTAAATAAACAAGTTGGGTAGATTTGTGTATAACTTACTGCTCTAGTTTAGGCAATGCCTCTATGATCGGCTCAACTTCTTCGGCCTCCCTCCCTGAGAAATAAGAGAACATAAAATGCATAAAGACAAGAGACAATATATTCTTGAATTTACAGTAAGAACAGAGAGTTAGTTGTTACCATTGATATCATAAACAACATCGAAGCCTTCTGCTGAAAGACTAGACTTCACAAAGTCATAGTCCTTTCTGTCTCCTTTCAAATGAAGAATCTAGAAAAGACCAAGAAGAATCATAAAGTTTTCATCAAGTTCCTCTTGCTTAATGTATAAAGAATCATGTAATACCTTGGAAGAAAAATCAGCAAAGTCTTGGTCAGATTCACCGGGCAATTGTTTGGCAATAGGAGTTTTACCCCTTGTGAACAATGTAACCTGCAAAAATAACCATTATTAGCCATTGAGAAACTAAAGTTGAGCTGAAAAGAAAGTTCGATCGGCCATTGAAGAGAAATGAGAACCTGATGTCCCTCTTTGACCAGGAGCCTGGACAAGAACACACCGATGAATCTAGTGCCACCCATTATCAGAATCTTCTTCTCGCTCGATGCTGAAACATAGAGTGCTCCTTTTGGCTGATGAACCTTTCTCTTGTACTGCAATTTCAATAACAAAGCCAACTCTGTAAAACATCTTATCTCCAAAATATATAATTTGTAGTTTCACTCCTCACTTCAAGAGGTATAATAAAATCTAACAAATACAAATCATTACGGACACAAAAGAAAATTGCTGAGTAAGTATTCAAAAAACGCATACCAGAACCCAAAACTTACACAATTGTGACAAAGAAGCTCGTAGACTTTACTTAAACAACAAAATCAGAACTGAAACTAGAACTACAAAAGGACCTTATTTTAGACACTCATTCATTAATCAAGAGACAATGATCCATTGCTCAAGAAGTCGACCAAAACGAGCTTAGTCCCAATTAAAAAAGGAACAAACTTTAAATGTGGTAAACGGATTTTGGTTTCATAAGACACACAAAAGCAGAACTCATATGAAAAATCTGTCCGAAACAAAGGAAAGAAAGATGACCTGGACTTGTAAATGGAGCTTAGCGCCATTGAAGTCAGAGAGAGAAGAATTAAGAAGAGAGAAAGAAGGCTGATGCTGTTGCAACATCATCATCTTCGCCATGGTTGGTTAACTCTTTGAGCAAAAACTGAAGAGAAGCTCTTTATATGAAATTGAAGTGTGTTGAGTGTCTCTATCTGTGTATGGCTCGTGTGGCCCCGTCATCTTGTTCCTTCCGATCATTTTAAAGTCTTTATTTTTTCTTGAAGGGATAAGACAATTATCTCAGCCTCTCTCGCCATTTCATGGTCACATATTTACAGCCATCGTCGTCCTCTTCTTTCCTAGCTCTTCTTTTCTTTTTGCCTTGTTGTGGATAGTGGGTTGTTTTGAACAAAAAGGAAGTTTTTGCGGTGAAATCGTAATTAACATTTTTATTACTGGGCCTTAAAGTCTCCAAATTTTATTGGGCCAAAAAGGAGTTATTGGGCCTTAATTCAGAATTAAAACACATTTTTAAAATATATCAAAAAGAGAAGAAATCACGTAGCGGACACGCGCAAGAGTCTTAAAGATCTGAATTCAGAAAATTTTCTCGGGAAAATTCTGAGGGAACGATCGATAAATTTTGACAACGGAGAGGTGTTTCGTTTTTGCTGATCAGCAGATTACTTCCTTCTTTTTTCGGATTGATCCTTTTGGATTCTTCGAAAGATGGACCCTAACCAGGTTTAATTTCAGCTGCTTCCTCTTCGTCTTTTGATTATTGTTGATTTCTGAGTTCGATTGCATATCAGATTCTTGATTAGACTCGTTTAATGGTTCGATCTGAATATTATTGGTTTAGATCTGTGTTTGGTCTTTGAGAAAATCCTGAGAAAGTATATACATTTGAGCTAAGTAAACATGCTAGGTTAGAGACGAAGACAATGTATTAAACTTGATAAACCCGATACTTGTTCCTTTTTGCGACAATGTGTAGGGGGGAAGTAATTTTTGTGTACCCAATTAGTTACCATGGTAATGGTTATTACAATGGAATCTACTAGCATATGAACTCCTAAAGCTTTTGCTATCATACGTCGTAATTGTGATAGCTGTGGCTGTTATCAGAATCGAGGCTTACAGAAATTTTGCTTTTCCTTAGATTCAGGCACCAGTTGAAAATTATGCAAACCCAAAGACATGTCTTTTCCATGTTCTCTTCAAGGTATGAAGAAAGTATATACAAATGTTTGTAGAAGTAAAATGTTGGATATTGGAAAATGGTGACCAGTTTGTATTTGTTCTTGGACCAGGGTGCTGCGTTGGCGTTTTACATTCTCTCTGCTCTCTTCTTCAACAGCTTTGTCATAATCTTTGTAGTCACTGTTCTTCTTGCTGCCCTTGACTTCTGGGTAGTTAAGAATGTGAGTGGGCGTATACTGGTCGGTCTGAGGTGGTGGAATGAGATCAACGATTTGGGGGAAAGTGTGTGGAAATTCGAGTCTCTTGACCAGGAGGTTAGTCTTTCTTCACTTATTCATAAGGCTATGGGTTTAGTCTGGCTAGAAATGTGGGGTTGTGTTACTTTTTCCATTTCTTGAATACTCGTGTTTTTGTACATTTTTGTATGCAGTCCTTGGCTCGGATGAACAAGAAAGACTCATGGCTTTTCTGGTGGACACTTTACCTTGCGGTAAGTAGTTCCTGTCTTTCACTTCAGTTGCAGCATATGCTAACTACTTAACCCCGTTTGTAGGAATCAGAATAGGCAAGAATAAACATGACCCTTATGGTGAAGCATGTTCTGCAAAAGTGGTATATAAGAATCAGAGCAGTCTTTTAGTACCCATAGTTGACCAAATTTAGATCAGTGATGTTCACAAACACATGAAATCTCTTCCCCCAACAAGCTACCATTTATATAAGTTTGTGACAAATGGTTTTCCCTTTGCATGAGTGGGTTTGTGACATTTGACATTGGAGTCAAATCACATGCGAAGTCACATTGCAAAATATGCTGAGTAGGGAATAACATTCTGCTGGAACCAAGTCTGCTATTTGGAGTATATTCTATGATCCTACTCTGACTTAATATGATATTGGTTAAAACTTGGTAGCTTATAAACCCTTATGCTTAGTAACTTTACAAGCGACCTTTAAAGAGTGAGATCTAGTCATGTAGCAATGAGATGGTAGCTATGAATTTAGTGTCTATATTACAGGAGCTTAGTAAACATTAAAAACATGTGAATTTATTTGTTGTCTTTTATCTGTTGTCACAGCTAAATCTTCTCTTTTTTCCACTCTCCAGGCAGCTGCTTGGTTTATCCTAGGGGTATTTTCTCTGATAAGGTTTCAAGCTGACTATCTGCTAGTTGTTGGCGTTTGTTTGTCCCTAAACGTGGCTAATATCATTGGCTTCACAAAGTGCAAGAAAGGTAAGATCCCTTATTAATTCTTGATCATTGCTCTAGATCACTAGGTTATTGTACAAAAGAACATATGGATGGACATACATAGAGGTAAAGTAATCAACATTCACCAAATTTTGTTGGCAGATGCAAAGAAACAGTTTCAGCAATTTGCCTCTCAGACAATCGCATCACGGTTCCAATCAACTGTACAATCTGCCTTCACCCTTGTCTAAAGAGAAGAAAGACGCAGAGCAAAAGACAGTGTACAAAGAAAGATTGCCAAAACGACACCGTTGGTTTTTTGACTGATTGTTTTCCAATGTTTTGTAAGGGGTTAAGAGGTCCTATATTACGTCTTTCTATGTATTTTACATTTTAGACTTTACCTATTAACATTTTGCATCTCATATGGTCTTACCATTACGTATACAGTATTTAGCTCAAAAGAAAATTAAGAATTTGTTTACGTCGCTCTTCCCTTTCCATTACCGCAGCAAGCCAACTGCGGAGTTTATCATATACGTAATTGCCTATGCATGTTCCTCACATAGTCACATGTTGCACGCTTCACATCTTTCTGTTATTGGTGAATGGTGAATTGAGTTCATTTATTAGTACTAAGCGTATAAGGCCATCATTATTGATGGTCTTTTAACAAAATTTACGTAGTTTTGTTGTCGAGGTCTATCTTTTTTTTTTTTTTTTTAAATGGATTTTTAGTAAATCTCTTGAGCTACTACTAATGCATTAGGCATTAGAAGAGAGAAAAATGATTTGAAAATCTTTATCTAAACAAGAAATTGTAAAATATAATTTACCTATACTTATTAAAGAAAGAAAAAAGTTGAACTTGGGCTACAATCTCTTTCTCTTTTAAGCCCATGATCATAAAAAACCATACATATAAAATAGTCACAATCACAAATCTTTTTTATCACACAGAGGCAAAGCTTTCAAGCTTTAAATTGAAATTGATTTGATTGCAGAAAAAAAAATCAAACCCCAAAACCCTAAAAAGGTGATTCCTTCGAGATCCTCACTACCATTCTTCCCGCCAATTTATTTTCGACATTCGCTCTTGCCATGTCTCTGCGGCCACGCCATTCTCTTGGGGTTTCGTCTCCGGCGAAGCAAAGGAAGAAAGCTCCCAAAAAAACTATGGCTACGAGAGCGAATCGAAAGCGTCTGCCTTCTTACCTAAAACCTGGCGCCGCCGTGGAAATCAGCTCCGACGAGACTGGGTTCCGCGGCTCGTGGTACCTGGGGAAAGTGATCACTATCCCATCCTCGGAGGACAAATGCCAAGTGGAGTACACGACGCTCTTCTTCGACAAAGAGGGTACGAAGCCGCTGAAGGAAGTCGTCGACATGAGTCAGCTCCGTCCCCCGGCGCCTCCGATGTCTGAGAGAGAGAAAAAGAGGGTGATTGCCATTGGGGAAGAAGTGGACGCCTTTTACAATGACGGTTGGTGGGAAGGGGATGTAACGGAGGTTCTAGGTGATGGGAAATTCAGTGTTTTCTTCAGGAGTTCGAAAGAACAGATTCAGTTTAAGAAAGATCAACTTAGGTTTCACAGGGAATGGGTAGATGGAGCTTGGAAGCCTCCATTAGAGGAAGCAGAAGGAGAGGAATCGGAGGAAGACAAAGTAGACGACACACAAGATGAAGAGGAGGTAACACTTTCTCAATGATACTTGCTTCTACTGTTGGTGCTTGAAAAATTTCTGTGGAAGTAGTTTATTGGAGAGTTTTGCTTTTAGTTCTTCTAGAGGAATTTATGATGTCTCTATTATCCTTACTTTCTTGCTGTTCTGTATTTTACTTTACGTTAATGATGATAGTAACTAATATGCAGGATATTTTACCCCGAGTGGATCTGGAAACTACCAGAGTAATCGCAAAACAAATATTTTCTACTGGCACGATTGTCGAGGTAAGCAGCGATGAGGAAGGTTTCAAGGAGTGTTGGTTTGCAGCTAAAGTCGTTGAACCCATTGGCGATGACAAATTCCTTGTTGAGTACCAAGATTTGAGAGAAAAAGATGGCATAGAGCCTTTGAAAGAAGTAACCGATTTTCTGCACATAAGGCCGCCACCACCAAGAGATGAGAATATGGATTTTTCTGTTGGAGACAAGATTAATGCATTTTATAATGACGGCTGGTGGGTAGGTTTTGTCATAGAGGGTATGAAGGATGGAACAGTTGGTATATATTTTAGGCAATCAAGAGAAAAGATGCGGTTTGGAAGGCAGGGTCTTCGTCTGCATAAAGACTGGGTTAACGGTACCTGGAAGCTACCACTGAAAGGAGGGGAGATAAAGAGGGAAAAGGTTCTGTAATATTTCCTTATTGATGAACTCTAGTCTAGACAGGTTCACATATATCTTCTTATCCAATTCTTTGCCAAATATATGTTTTAAAAGTTTTTACTTGTATCTGCAGACCGTTTCATGTAATCGGAACGTGAGACCTAAGAAAGCTATCGAGAAGCACAAATTCAGCATTGGAACTTCAGTAGAGGTTAGCAGTGAAGAAGAAGGATTTGAAGATTCTTGGTTTTCTGCAAAACTCGTTGAATACAGAGGAAAGGAAAAATGTCTTGTAGAATATGATAAACTGAAAGCTGAAGATGGGAAAGAGCCTTTGAGAGAAGAGGTTAATGTTTCACAGATAAGGCCTCTACCACTAGAACAGGTCATGGTTTGTCCATTCGAGAAGAATGACAAAGTTAATGCTTTGTATAATGATGGTTGGTGGGTGGGGGTGATTAGGAAGGTTCTTGCGAAGTCATCTTATCTGGTTCACTTTGAGAAGACTCAAGAGATACTAAGATTTCATCATTCTCAACTAAGGCTACATCAGGACTGGATTGATGGCAAGTGGATAACAAATTTTAAGGTATGCTTTAAAACGATCAACTCATATTATATCAAATATAACTTCGTTATTTGTTGCTCCAGTATCAAAAACATTTTAGCATCTATCTTGGTTGTTGGCATGCAGTATCAAGTTTTTACTAATGTGCTTGCTGCCATTTTTTTTTTTTTCAGTCTCAGAAGGTGTAATTGAGATGGTAACACATCAGCATTTTGGGATCTCAAGTTTTTGTTTTTTTGGAGGTATTTGAATCCTTAGTCTTAACTCTTAACCCCAGTGTTCTTGGCTATTGTAGATAATTTCAGTTCTAATGCTTGACCAAAAGGCAAAAAAACAGTTAATATTTTTGCCCGTATGAGATACTTCTACTCATAATGCACTTGATTTCCGTTGATTATTTGATAGGCAAGTTTTTGCTGTAAGGCTATGTCCTTGCCTTGTTGATTCATCTATTTTCAAATTAAGTGATAAATATTCAACAGGGTAGGTCACTATTATATTATCTATGATGTTTCGCATCATATGATCAGGATACATGCTCAAAATCTTTACTCGTTGTGCTTTTGGAGTCGATGCATATGAATGATTTTGGTGAGTGTCTACTTAGTCAAGGATATACAATACATCATTTTTCCGTTTCAGAGCCACAACTTATGTCCATTCCAATGTAATGTTGACGATCTTAAGCTTTGTGTATGTAAGACACTCCAAAAATCGAAAAATACAAGGAGTGTAAGATCTCACTTTTGCTTTATAAGAGGTTTCCCATGTTCTTGAACTGACATACAAAACCAGCTTCAGAGTAGTTTATAGATAATTACGGATCATTTTTGTGGAACAGGATGATGGTGACATCTTATTACAGGTAAAACAAGTGGTTGGTAATACATGAGAATAAAAGCAGTGAAAAACACAAACTCTTCATAATTTGTTCCAATTCTTCAAATACACTTAGAATTCTGGTCTCTTATAAGGTCTTGATCAGGCCTCTTTGACTGCAACAGCCTCCTTGATTGCAACAGCCTCCTTGACCTCTGTGGCTTCACTGCTCTTCTCCTTGGCAGGTTCCTCTTTAGCAGGTTCCTCCTTGGCAGGTTCCTCTTCTGGGACTGTAAAAGCTGAGACCGGGAAAGTCCTAGACAGTGTGGTCGGTGTCTTGAAGGTGATTTTTCCAGTGGTAGGCGGGTCCTCAGTATAGATCTCGTTGATAGTGACCCAAATAAGAAGCTCCTTTGCCTTGACACCAGTGAGCTTCTTGATCTTCCCGGTCTCAACCACAGCAGTGACCTCAGTTCCATAGGAGACAAGCTTATCAATCTCTGCGAACTTGTGAGTGATACTCTTTTTCTGCTTAAGCCACACAACACCTGACTCTCTGTCATACCCAACCTCTTCTATATCCTGCAATGGTAATAAACCATTGGGCATAGATATTTCCTTGAGGAAACACTTAGTCTTCTCTCTGCATATCTCATCTCCGGTGTACATCTCTGCCTTAGCTCTCACCTCCTCTGTAACCAAACCCATAACTGTTTCTTTGTATCTCTTGTGAGGTTCTTAGTTTTAGCTTTGTCTCAAAGCTGAAGTTGTGTGTTGTGGAGAGGTAAGGGACTTAAGCCTTGTGATATATAGGTGACCCGTTTGGTGTTTGGCCTTGGTTTCCTGTTCTTATTACGGAGATTGCCACCAGGTTTAGAAAATAAACGGGAAATTTGTACAATTTTTCCAATATACGGGATATAAAATACACTCGGATTCAGAACATACCTTTGACTAAATACATTTTAAGCAAAAAATTCTTAGTTTTGGTATCAAATTGAGACCAACAACTCTATAAAAAAAGGTGAAAAACATCACTACCGATAACGACGTCTCCTTTTTACTCTGCAAGGAACAGAAAAAAGAAAATGCAAAACGTTTTAACTCTCAATGTCATGATAGATAATTTGGATGAGGGTGCAATGCTAAAAAGCATTAATGGGCATGGTTGGGCAGATTTATGGGTGACTAAACTTAACACATACAATATCGATACGTCGTGTCAACTTGGTTTCCAGTTTTGGGTTAAACCATACGTCTTACATGATCATATGGCTATCTTCATCACAATATTAATGATAATGATGATGATGATGGTGCATGGCCCGTCCTTATAAATGCAGTGCCTATCATCTCACATTCCCTTCACCTGCTAACCAGTAACCGACCTCCTCCATTATTTTTTTATTTATATGATTTTATTCGAATAAACCATATAAATTTCTTGGGCGTTTAGTGTTACGTATCAAGCAATCACATATACTTCTATTTTAAAAAACCAACCATAACCAATAAAGACTAAAGTTCACATAACTATGCAAGTATTCCAACTTCTAACTTACTGATTGTGATTTGCGACCTTACTTTCTCCTAACTCGATGTCTTTTGGTTTTGCAACTTACAACAATTCCACACTTTCAGAATGCTTAGTTCATGATTTCTTTTAAAAACACTTTCACACATTCTATGATTCAAACTCATGTTTTCCATGAGTTTAAGTTTGAATTTTTGTTAGAATTACTATCAATGATGTTTGGTTTAAAACAATCGTTGTGTCACGGTTCGTATGCAACCTTTTAACCTTGCGAAGAGAAATTGGCGAAGCTTTGCGCAGCGTTTCCATGGCAGTGATTATTCAACAATGTCTCTATGTGTTTGATCTCCTTAGGCATTGACCCTGTGAGCACCTCGTAGCCTGTTTCAGTGATCAGAACTTCATCCTCGATCCTTATCCCAATCCCTTGGAATCTGCAAATTAAGGAAAAAAAAAAGCAGTATCAAGAGAAATGTCATTCAATCATTTATTTTCTTGTTGGATAGATCATGTCATGTCCCACGGTTGATTTGCTATTAAATTACTCATATATACACAGCTCGATACTTTATTGGATGCAAATAATATTCCTGCAAACCACAGAATTTTCACAGAATTTAGTGCGCCAAGTTGAAAAAGAGTATTTCTACCTTTCAGGGCAGTCGAATGAAGATGGAATGTAGACTCCTGGCTCAATCGTAATCACCTGTCCAAACAGCGATCATAAGTTTTGACATAGAGAGTCTGAACGATCACTGGCTAGCAAACACTAAAACCAGTCATCCGATGTAATCTAGCCTAGTAGATTCTTAAGGGCCCAAAGGGCACAGATCAGATTTCATGGACTAGCATCAACAAGAAGAGTGTTTAAGATAGGAGGGTAAGTAGAATGGTGAAGATATTATAAACCTGATTTTGGGTTCTTTACAAAAGCCAAGACTCGATAGAGTAGTATTACTTACATAACCAGGTTGCAAAGGACGGTCATATCCCACAGCAGAAGAATCATGCACATCCATCCCAAGGTAGTGACCTTGTTATCCATCACAAGAGAACTCTGTTAGATAATTTTGTCCCAATGCAGACATGCAGTATATATATTTTGTGTTTTTGGTTATATGATAACTTTCTTTTCTTTTCTTTATTCTTTGTGGGGAAGAAATAACTTTTATACAGAATAATGCAGGACAATAACAAGGATATTACCATCTAGACGTCAATCAGACTTAGTTGATTGTATTCGTTCCATCGACCAAAATTGCAAATAAGTTCATGTGATCGAGTTCAATAATGCATACCTATGGAGGTTGGGTTCAGCTGGTGATACAGTCTACGACTTTTCAGGATCCCCATCTTCATCAGTCCATCGCACAACAACTCGGTCTGCAAAACCACAAAACATCATCTGAGTCCAAACATTATTCTGTTGGCAGAAAAAGCTTTTAAGTCTAAGGCTGTTGAGTGCTGATGGTATTTATATCATCTCTGATCCATTTAAGCTTCTGAAATATTTGTAAACCAGCCTTCTACAGAAGTGAAACAAAATTTTCACATCATACCAAACCTGTTAATAGTGAACGGTACATTTTGTGTATTTGATACATCTTTATCACAAAGAGACGGCTTAGATAAATTCATATTTACCGAATATGTGTTTAGTTGGCGGATGGTTGTACCAGGCTTGCATTGTTTTATGCATTCTTTGTTTGTCTGTAGAATAAGATCATATATCTCTTCCTGGAAAAAATACAGATATTAATATTTATGATAGAGTAAGTGTTTAAGAAAGCAGCTTCACCAATTACTTTCCATCTTTTTATCTAAACATAATTGTGACATCGAGCAAAGATCCACAAAATCCTATAAAACCAATGCACATGTTCAACTTCTGACAAATGGTATATTGCAGTAAACAATCCTAACATGCAACAACAAAATACCTATATTTGCGTGTTACTCGATGCTAAGACAATCCAAAAGAAATTCTCGGATAAAGAAAAACTGCAGGCGTTTAGGTTTTCGTTAGATATCAGTGACTAACAAAATTCATGATTTCCTAAATTATTATTATAAGGGAAACGCTAGCCTACTAAACGTAAATTTCAGAGAGAGCAAGAAATTTAGTAGTAGAGTATGAGATAGTAAGTAAAGTCCTATCTCTCAGTTGCATCATCCAAACACCAACGGCAAGCACAAACATAAATAATATTGAATATCCAGAAAAAAGAAGATAAAAAATGAGATAGCAGAGACATCAACCTGAAGAGAACTGAATTTTCCGCAAGGAGGCCATGTCCGAGTAAGATCGCTAACATAACCATGTAACTCGCAACCCATGTCCATCAAGACAAGATCACCATCTCTTATCTGCAGATAATTATAAAAGAAGATTTTGGCTTTAAAACATTGCTGTACTAGCAAGCAAATAGGGTTTTGTCAAACTTACTCGCTGATCATTTCGTGAATAGTGAATAACACTAGCATTTGAACCACCACCGACTACAGGATTAAATCTGAGAAATAAAAGTGACATTTTTCTTGTCACTAGAATAAGAATACTAGGAAGTGATTTTTTTCTAAGAATAATCTAGATCACATATTAAATCATAGACGAGATATAAGTCAAGACTTACGCCATTCGCTGAGCACCTCTTATCCGACACTCATATTCAACTTGGGCTGATAAGATGCCTTCATCAGGAAACCCTTTCGAATGTAGCATTGTTTTCAGAAGACCCTGAGGATGAAAATATCCAAATCACTCCATATGCTCATTATCTGAAATAGCTATAGCTCCAACGAATATTTAGAAAATGGTTCATGACGTTCTATTGGCACTACGTTCCTTTTCTCTTAGCACTTTGGCCACAAGAAAAAACAAGGCATTGCCTTCATGAGAAGCTGTTAGTGAACAGCCTTCAATCACAATATAACACCCTCAGCCAAAATTGTTCCATCGGATCATGGCTTGGAAGCTTTTATATGTGTATTACTCATTTTATCAAATCAATTTTCAAGATTAAACTGAAAATATATACACACACAATCGTCTGCAAAAAGTTGTCAAATTTAACTAATTTGTCTTATTGTCTCTTGTAATTTCCCCCCACCATCTTTAATTTTCAGTTACTCTCTAGCATCTCAGTTGTAATTAGAAGCTAAAAGAACCAAAAAAAACAAACAACAGAAAAGTTCCAGGAGCTAACAATGCCTTTGTTGTAATACAGGAATACCTGGCAAGCAATAGATGCAGAATCTCTCATCAATTTGAGTTCCGCAGGTGATTTAATTAACCTCAGCTCATGTGTTAGACTTGAAAGAGTTTTCACTTTGCCAAGAGATGTTGACTTTTGAAACTCATCCAAGTTTGTGTATCTTTGCGAGGCAGTTTGAACATTATGAAACACTTTTGAAGAATGTCTTATCATGTCGGAAAGAATCTGTACATAATGAATGTGAAAATAAAACAAATCTCGCGTTATAGAAGTAATAAAGTCAACAACATAGGAAATTTTATAAGAGAGGCCACTTAGGGAAGAAATATAAGCTACCTCAGGTAATTGTCTTAACGGATATGCTTCGTCTGCCTTGAAGACCTCAGATGCAGCATCAACTCCAGCAACTTCACCTTGCCAAGCAACATCCTACATCACAAATCAATTCTTATAAATTTCCAAATAGAAATCAGAAGCACTCTGTATACAAAATTCATATACTAATAGATCATCATACATTAGGAGTTGATTCTGGCATAAACATGCATAAACCTCTATCACTACTTAAAACAGCCACACCACCTGGCTGCTGGCAGCCAGTTAGATACAAATAATCAGCCTCTTGTCTGAACGTATATGGAACAACGTCTGTCATCATTTTGACGGGGGCTGAAGAAATGATGGCTAAGCTGTTCTCAGGGAGGAGCTCCACAAGTTTCTTCCTTCTAGCAATGTATTCATCAATTCTTATTCCTGGTGTGACCTCTCCTTCCGCCATTAACTGATGGGGAAAAGCGAACCATCAGAGCATATTAATAGCATTTTCAAATTACAAGAGAACATAGTCAAAGTAAATATCACATGGGAGTTACATGAGGATGAGATGCTGGAGTTGGCTGACCAATGTCTCTGACTCTTTGGGTTGAATATGCATTGCGAATAATGACCTGAAACCCCATTTCAAAAAGCAATAAGTGTCTCAGCCTAAAGCACATGTAGATTTAAGCTGTGATATAGATAAATTGAATAGAACGAAAAGATGAAAACAAGTAATTAGCATCGGAGGTCAAGTACTCTCTCAATCAAGTCTCACAATTTCTGTAAATTCTATAAAAAGTCAATTCATATTCAAAAGATGAAACTTTATGGTCCAGAAGATCTCTAGAAATTTTATATCTTGTCCTTCGAGTGAACCCGAAAATTCGATCTAAATCCTCGAGTCTATACAAACAAGGAGGAGAAGCAAACTATCAAAAAACCATGAATTGAGCATTACCTGAGGTCTTGATACTCTCCGAACTAGATTTCGCGCAAGTACCTGCATCTCTTTCCTCTCTCAGACTTTCACAGACTCTTGAGAGGACCGAATCGGACTTCGTGTGATTTTCTATTGTTCTGTTCCGTCACTGGTGGCCTCAGGGTTTAGCTGTTTGAAGCTGCGTTCTCTAAACGTCGCGTTTCAGGGTTTTAAAACGCTACCGCACTTTCCGAATCGCGTTTCAGGGCTCAAAGCCTTGTACTTTCTCCTCTCTTTTTTTGGGTTTAACTTGGAACATATGTACCAGCAAAGAAAAGCTCAACACTTTTGATAGAGAGAGAGAGTAACATATCAGCAATGGCTGCTGTAGATGATGTGAAGGATGTTGGAAGGACAGTAGAGGAAGAGCCTGTGTGTGAAAAAAGAGAAAGAGAAGAAGAGGAGGCTGAAACAGAAGCATTGACTCCGTGGGAGCAACACTCCAGCATCATAAGCATCCCTCGATTCGACTACAAAGCTCCCTCTTCTCTGCTTCATCATTCTCATGCAGGCTTCCTCGTCACCTGCACCATCAGTATGATTCTTCTTCCAATACTCTCGCATCCTTTTTAGTTCATATCTGTTAATTTCGTTTTGAGGCCATGACCTTAAATTTCTCGAATTCCTTGATTGTCTCCGATTTTAAAAGTTGTGGGCATTTCGAATCTTGTGTACTGGATTGAGGAATATAGATTTTGTGTTTAACAAGACTCGAATTGAGAGTTTAAAGTTAATCTGTTTCTGATTTTCACTTCTTATCAGAAAGAGAGAAAAGTGCTACCAAAGAGGTCATGTCCATCCTTGGAAAGGTATCGTCACATTGCTCTATCACTAGGGAGGAAAAAGTGTGATTGATAGAGAAACACTATATTCGAAATGATTACTAGTTGTGAAATTTAAAGTTTGTAAGATGATGATCAGTACTAGTGGGGGATTTAATTAGTGTTTAAGTTGGGAAATGACTAGTTCTCACAGAAATCAAACTTTTGATTTGTTCAGTATATTGGCTCCATGCATGAGGAGAAACCTGCAGTTGTAGAATCTACTGATATGAATGCGGCATCAAAAAAACAAAAACTTTGTGTACAAGAGATAGAGGAAGGCGAAGAGAAGACAGTACCTCTTGAGAATGATGTCTTGCAGGAAACAAGTAAGTATATTTCATTTGGGGAAGAGCATAGCCCAGTTTTAGTTTTTTTTTGCTTATGTTCTTGTCTTTCTTTTCTCTTTTTGGGCCGTGTTTAGGAGAAAATCCAAGTGTTGAGGATCCCGAATTAGCAGATGAAGAACACAATTCTCTTATGTCACTGGTTAAGCTGACAAAGAGTGGCTTGCTTCTCTTTACTTTCCCTGTTGAAAAGTTTCCCGATACAACAAACATCGTGTCACGAGTCTTCCAATCTATGGAATCTGGAGCTCTGAAGGCACCAATGTAAGTCTTTCCTGTGAAATGTTAGTTAGTGAACGCCTTAGAATTCAACTCTACCTTTAAATAAGCATGCTTATAGAGTTCTGATTTAGTCTCGTATAACCTTTTCAGGTCTGATAGTCCCAAAGAGTGGTTTCTTTTTCATATCAGACCTATTTCATTCTTTTTGGACCATGTCGTTATTAAAATACTCTGCTAGGAAATATTGATCATTATCTTCTCAGATTCCGTTGATGTAAGCATATTTTTGTGTCGAAACAATTAATTTATGATTTGATTGATGCAGCTGGTGCCATCGGATATTCCCAGTTCAAGCTACTTGTGGTTTGACAGAGAAAGAACTTCGGGAAACGGTATCAAAGCTTGTTCAGCGGTTTGTCAATGATAAAGACAATACACTATCAAAACCCGTAAAGGTAAGAAAAAGTTTGTCTGTAGAATCAAGTTTTCGTTATATAGGAGTATATGTTAAGAATTTTGTTAGATTCATGGCAATGGTTATTAACCAATAACCACACACCACATATAGTTTGCAGCTGGGTATCAGCGTAGAGGTGTGGAGGAGACGAAAGGAAAGATTCAGAAAGAAGCATCAGAGGTCCTAGATCAATGTCCGTTGCTGGACCGTATCAAATGCTTTGAAACTGTAGCGGCCGGAGTGACAGACATTGTACCAGATTCAGTTGTGGATCTCAAATCTCCAGAGGTAGTGTATATATATAGAAAATAGTTCAAACCTTGTTGCATCATCCCGAAAGTCTAAAGATTGGAGTAAAAATGTGCAGTTATGTGTTCTGGTGGAACTCTTACCGCTCTCTAGAATACCAAGTGGCGCCATTGTAGCTGCTGTATCAGTGCTTCCACATAGACTTGTTAGTACAAAGCCGAAACTCTGCATCAAACCTCTCGTCCCTGAATCCAAACACAAAAAGGGAAAAAACTGACGGGCACACATATCGTTGATTTGGGATTTTCCAGAGCCAAAAAAGATTAACTGAAGTTGTAAACTCTATGTTTGGTTTTAGATATGTGGTTTGCTTTCAGTACTGCAATGAACGTTAACATATGTATAACCAATGCCTTATTCAAGAGAGAACAAAGAATCTTTTCACTCTTTCTCTCGCATTAGTTTGCCTATCTCACCTTTGCAGGAGCAGAACTTTATATATATATTTTACAAGCTAAGCATTTGTTACAATGTTTGTCGCTATGTGACCCGTCTGAGTAATTCTGCACTGCCAAGCTTTTTTCACATAACTAAACTGCTTAGGCAATTACAAATTAATCGGTTTAAATTCGGGTTTTATCAAACCATATTTTTCTTATGAACAAATTTCGGTTTAAGCAATGTTCGGTTTGGTCCTCCTCTGAAACAGTCTTGGCTTCGGTGTTCCATCTTCGCGACGCCAAGAGCCTGACAATATTCGTTTGCTTCCCCATCCCACTGGAAAGAAGACAAACCCTAATGGGAACGAGCTCGTGTGGCGATGGTGAGAAGCAGAGGATTGAAGATGAAGAGCAATACGGTGTGTTGCTATACTACAAGTACACCTCTGTTCCTGATTTAGATGAGCTCGTTTCCTTTTATGAATCGAGCTGCAACTCATTAGGTTTACTTGGCCGAGTCAGGCTCTCCCCTAAGGGCGTCAATGTCACTGTATTCTTCTAATCTCCTGCTCTGCATATCCAATGTTTAATATTTAATTTAATCCTTTTTGAGTTCTCTGACTGTTGTTTCGCCTCTGATTGAGAATTTAAACCATAAATCGAAAAGCCTGATCCTTTGTGTTGAAAACCATTAAAAAATTGAAGTCGTTCACTCTTTTGAACTGTATTCTAGATAGAGTTCTTGAAATCATGTTATTGTTGGGGTTGAAGCTAATAACAATAAATTCAAAGCCTTTTGAGTTTGCTGTATAGTAAGCTGTTGAAGTTGAATGAAAGGAAAATAAAGGCAAAGCCTTTGAGTTCTGAGTTCTGTCGTTATATTTAGGATTAGAGCTCTCTAAAAATAGTTACAAGTGTAATCCATGTAATCCATCTTAACCATTAAAAAAGTAGACACCAAAAGTTTGAAGCTTTTTTACTAGACTTCTGTTTATACGATTGGGTTAACAGAAAGTTTTGTTTTTTGGTTAGGTTGGTGGGAAATTAACTGCATTGGAGAAACATATATCCGCTGCAAAGTCGAATTGTTTGTTTGAGGGGACCGACTTCAAGCTTGCACCTTGCCATCAACCCTTGAATGACAAAGTTGCTCAGGAGTGTGGGTTTACATCACTCTCCATCCGAGTTGTTGAGGTTATTGCCTTATCTTCCTTACCAAACATAGTGTTCTTATGTTAAGTTCTTGGCTACAGAACATGTGCGTAAGATTTCTATGCCGGGATGAGGACATATCCATGTTATGGTCTCCTAGCTCATCTGACAGAATATTTTATACTAACTACAAAATTGTGCATATTTCTTTCCATAGTCTCTATAATTAATGACCTTAATGTTCTATGTGCGTATTAAACCTTAAATCATATACTAGATTAACGGATGACTTGGTGTCGAGTTAAGCTTGTCTGTCTTCTCTGTATTTCAAAATAAATTTCCTTCTATTCTTATTTCACTTTTTTTTTGCATCTGATGGATGAAATTTTTTTTTTTGTCATTGTGTCGAGGTTCTTTGAATTTGAATGTAATTCAATAGCATTTTGATAGATTTGTGGCATTGTGTTGTGATTTGCAGGAGTTAGTGACCTTTAGTCCTTGTCCACCCCTTAATACCCCTGAAATTTCAAATGCTGGAAAGCATCTCTCTGCTGCGGAGTTTCATTCGGTCCTGCAGAGTGCCAGTAAGTTTCTGTTTTGTTTTATCACTTACTGCTATATTGCATTTCTTAGCTGATTATGTTTTTCTTTTTTGCAACTCAGCTGAACATCCGAATGGAGATGGGAAGTCTGAGGATAAGGAACTTGTTTTACTTGATGCGAGGAATCTGTACGAGACACGGATTGGAAAATTTGAATCAGAAAATGTTGAGACCCTTGATCCCGAAATCAGGCAGTATAGCGATTTGCCCACATGGATTGATCAGAATGCCGAGAAATTGAAGGGAAAAAATGTGCTCATGTATGAATAACAGTTCTTTGACATGCAGAGATTTTTTGTCCAGTTTAATTTCGACATCACTGAAATTCTTATGTGTTGGCAAAATCAGGTACTGCACTGGTGGGATCAGATGTGAAATGGCATCGGCATATATCAGATCTAAAGGCGATGGATTTGAGAATACTTTTCAGGTGAAATCCTGGATCGCGAATGGATTTGACACTAGTCACTGAACTTGGCTCGGCTGACTCCAGTAGTTATTTGTTTCTTGCAGCTCTATGGTGGCATACAGAGATACCTTGAACAATTTCCCTGTGGTGGGTTCTTCAAAGGGAAGAACTTTGTGTTTGATCACCGGTACATTTGTAGCATCTTTCTCTTCTAATCAACCAGGATAAAAATAATTATTGGTCCGGGTAAGTGGTAACATACGTTTACATGTCGGGGTTTTGAAGGATCTCAGTTGGGAGCTCAAAAGAGGATATAATAGGCAGCTGCCTTCTCTGCAACAATACCTTTGACGACTATTCTCCACGTTGCCGTTGCAGATTATGCCGGATGCTTGTTTTAGTCTGCAATCACTGTCGGGTAATGCACCCAGACCACTTTTGTTGATCAACTTCACAACGATTGTATATCCTGGACTTAAGATGTGCTGTTGCAGGTTAAAGGAGATATATATGTGTGTGAGCTGTGTCGTAAAAACGGAAAAACGGAAGTTCCTTTGATTCTTGATCCCTCAACCCAACCTTCTGAAAGCAATGGTCTGTTTGCTCATTTTTGTATCAAATAATGTTTGAAACATGAGAGGAGTTTTTCAAAGTTTTCTTATCCCTTTTTTCCTTGAATCTTTGTCGTTTCACTTCTGTGGTTAGGTGACAATACAAGACGGAAGCTGAGGATTTTGTGCTTGCATGGTTTTCGGCAGAACGCATCTGGTTTCAAAGGGAGGACCGGATCACTAGCAAAGAAACTGAAGAATACTGCGGAGCTTGTGTTCATTGATGCACCACACGAACTACAGTTAATCTACCAAACTGCTACCCCTCCATCCGGAGCATGCAGCAAGAAGTTTGCGTGGTTGGTGTCACCAGACTTTGATAAACCGAGTGAAACAGGCTGGACAGTGGCCCAATGCCAGCTCGATCCCTTGCAGTATCAGACTCAAACTGAAGGGTTTGATAAATCGTTGACATACTTGAAGACGGCTTTTGCAGAGAAAGGGCCTTTTGATGGTATTCTAGGATTCTCTCAAGGTGCGGCAATGGCTGCAGCTGTTTGTGGGAGACAGGAGCAGCTCGTAGGTGAAATAGATTTCAGATTCTGCGTGTTGTGCTCGGGTTTCACGCCGTGGCCATTCTTGGAGAAGAAGGAGAAAGGGACGATTAAATGCCCTTCACTTCACATATTCGGAAGCCAGCCTGGAAAAGACAGACAGATTGTGACTCAAGCCAGCTCAGATTTGGCGGGGTTGTTTGATGATGGTTGCGCCACCATTATTGAGCACGATTTTGGCCACATCATTCCTACCAAGTCTCCTTATATTGATGAGATTAAAGCTTTCCTTTACCAATTCATTTGAGGACTTTATGAACAAGGCAAAGACTCTTGCAATCAAAACATTTCTTGTATTTCCACTCTTGCCAAGTAAAAGTTATAAAGCTATATAATAACGACAAAGAAAAGAAAAAAAAAAATAGTGACAAATACAAAGTGTGACACCATATCCTAAACCAGTAACCACACTATCCCATAGTTTAAGATACAGAATCAGAGATTGATTCAGACGAATAAGGACAACAAAGAAGATAAAACAGAAGAAATAAGCCTTTTTGCATCAGAACTCAAAAACTCGAACTTGAAACTGGCAAATGTCAATAACAGTTGCAAAAGTTCCCAAACCAAAGGAATTCAATTTGTACTTTAAACTTTTTCAGCCAAATTTGAATCCGCCAGGGGGTGCAGCGGGCTGGTTTGTCCCAAAACTGAAGGCCTGTTGTGAATTTTCATTCCCGCCATCCTGCAGAATCTGCTCTTCCTCTTCTTCAGCCCAATATCTCTCCAATATCTTAACGGCCTTCTCATATATCTCGTTGTTATCATGGGATTGAAGGCTTTCCACTTTGTCCAACCCATCACATTCTTCTATTATTTGACCATAGAGATTCACCCCATCGTTTAATCCCATCTCCTTGTCAGTCTCACCAACCTTGAGAATGTTTTCAAGCCCCTCAAGGCACACTGTCACAATCCTTGGATCAGGGCACACAAGAAGATCGCATAGTGGCTTGATACAGCCTTGTGTCGCCAAATATCTGCGTGCAAAACAGTGTTAAGAGCATTTTTCGGTTTCAAGTAGATGATGGTATAAGTGGGAACACTATGAAATGAAGTTAGTTGTTTGCAAAATGCTCTTCAGAATAGAGATGACATACTGAATCTGCTCATGAGACCCTCCTGAGGTGGCATTGGAGATAGCCCAAGCAGCTTCCTTCTTTATATCGAACTCCGCATTTTGGAGCAAGTGCACAAGAGGGAGGATTATTCCAGCGCCAACCACAGCCTATTGTTTCAAATATATAAACTGATTAAAGCATTGATTTTAGCCTCTGAAACTTTGATGAATCTCGATATCTCAGTAACAAGTATTGTTTGGCCTATAGCAATAACAAATATATTATAAACAGGTTTCTAGCAGATATGTTATTGGAAAATATGGAAGTACTAAAATTTGCTCGCTCTAAATTCAAGAAAAGAGTCAAAATCATTAACTTATTCACTTTTCTTGCCGAATCAGAATGAAATAGCATACTATTCTTTCATGAACAACCGTCTTCTTGACATAATAAAGATAGCAAGAAAAAACTCATACCTCTATCTGAACTTTATTTCCAGCAGTAATATTCGAGATAGTCCAACAAGCTTCCTTTTTAATACTTTTCTTGTGATTTTGCGTAAGCAAATTATAGAGGTGGGGAAGTACACCACTATCAATTATAAACTGAAAAGCAAGGAC